GCCGTTAGTACTTGATCATTCCTGCCTAAGGTAAGTTGGACAACAAGTTACAAGTACCGATGTAACTCAGCGGTAGAGTATTGGGCTAGCACCCAGTGGATCGGGTTTCAAATCCCACTGTGTTATATGTGCAAGGTGTTTTTTTTTAATTTCGTGCGATGTGGTTACGGACACCAGTGGCGACGGACAACAGGCAACGGCGTGTGAGCACAGTTGTGATCTCATAAGAGCTTTCGCTGTAATAAGGGGTGCGGCATAATCAATCGTGGTTTTGGAATAGAAAGCTCCAAATATTATAAATGGTTGCATTACTATTTCATCGGCATAGTGATGTCATTGTGCACATAAAAGTTACTCTTCTAGAAGTATGCATAATTATTTATTTGTTTGTTTGTTTGTTTGTTTGTTTTTATTCTCATCATGGGTCCCTAGCAGAAGGGAAATTACATGAAGGGTGGGCATACAAGACATGCGTAAAGGCAAAGTTGGATGTGTAACAAAAAGAAAAACAGAAATTTTCGGACATAGCTGAAGCGGCAGAAACAAGGGGTAACAGGTACATTTGTTTGTGGACTCTGGATAAAAACATTTTACAAAGACAAAAAATACCACTTATAAGGTACAAAACATTGCCAAGTACACAAAATATACATACATGCCACACTAGGAAGATGACACTAGAAACCATTACTCACAAAAAAGTTAGGCACGTTAGAAAGTTACCTGGAAATTATTACGGTTCTGTGATGGTTGACAGAGAATTCTTAAAGGCTTCTGCATTCTGAATGCTCAGGTTGTTTGTGATGGTCCTTAGACATGCCGACGAACGCTGAGCTGGCGAAAGAAATCGAAGTGTTTCGAGTTGAAATGACCGAGATGCGCGAAAGTATGAAGTTACTGAATGAGATCTGTGAAGGCGCGAAGAAGGAAAACGAAAATTTCATCAAAGAAAACAAGTCCCTGAAGGTTAAAAACAAGGAGTTGGCTAAACGCCTCAGCGAACCTGAACAGTATTCACGCTCTAACAACGTTGAAATAAGAGGTGTGCCCGTCCGAAAGGACGAGAACTGCCTTCAGATTGTGCAGGAATTCGGGAACAAAGCAAAATGCCCTGTCGCGGCAGCGGACATTGACATCGTTCATCGTGTCCCTGTCAAGAAAGGAATACCACACATAATTGCTCGATTCTGTACGAGAGCCAAGAGGGCCGAATTCTGTGAAAAAACACGGAAGGCACGTTTAAACACTTCCAACATTGGATTTCAATCTCAAAAAGACGAGCCCATTTTTATCAACGACCACCTCACTCCAGAACAAAAAACAAACGACTGTTCGCGCAGGCTCTGACCCTAAAGAAAGAAAAAAACTGGAAGTACCTCTGGACAGACAACGGTATTATCAAGGCTAGAAAAACCGACAACCGTAAAGTGCACCGCATCGCTGACACGGATGACCTAAAAATCATATCGTAGGCATGCCGACTGATTAAGGAACACTTTTGGTTTCATTATGGCTTCTAATATGCTCTCATGCGCTGAAGCAAAACATCTTCTTGAGCAAACACCCGCATTCTCGCTCGTGCATTTTAACACTCGTAGCCTTCGAGGGCATTATGACGACCTTGTAGCCTTCCTTTCCATTGTCGAACACACATTTTCCGTAATTTGCCTATCAGAAACGTGGCTGTCGGCAGACGAAGGGCATCTGTATACTTTGCCAGGCTATGAATCCGAATATTGTCACCGTGTCACAAATTGTGGTGGCGGATCTGCAGTCCTAATAACTTCATCAATACCATACAAACGCCGTAAGGATCTGTTTTTTGACAACATTAATTGTGAGTCTGTTTGGCTTGAAATAGAATCTTCTGCTCTGCCATTGAACAATCGTCATACAGTCATTGCATCCATCTACCGTTCTCCCTCATCCTCGAATTCCGAGATTTGCGTGCAGCTTGAACGAATCATTGCTACTCTAACCCTGGAAAACAAAAACATTATTATTTGCGGGGACGTAAACATAAATATCCTTGATACTAACACTCCAGTTTGCTTGGAATATGTTCGCTGTTTTCTTAGTTTTGGCCTACAATCTCTGATTAACTCCCCGACTAGATGTAATATGAATGGGTCTAACACATTAATCGACCATGTACTGTCGAATATCTTTTCTGATTCGAAGTCCGGGGTTATTAACTATTTATTCAGCGACCACAATCCTGTATTTTCCTGTCTTGATGCCTGTATTCCGATAAAAAATAAGCATAATACCAAGACAGTATTCAACTCAGCGGAACTTGTTGAGATAGTGCGTAATGCTGACTGGGACTTTGTTGCACAAGAAGAATGTGGCGAGGAAGCATTTAATAAATTTTCGGCAAAAATAAGCGCATTCATTGCAGAATGCACAACCACAAGTACCGTCATACATTGGTTTCGCACACCTAGAAACCCATGAATAACTCCTGGTCTCTTGCATTCCATATCTAAAAAGGAAAACATGCGAAAAAATTAAAATCTCAGCCTTCAAACAGCTCTCTAAAAACACGCTTAAAAAGATATTCAAATCTACTTTCAATGCTGCTCAAGAGGGCCAAACGCGAGTATTATGAAAAACAAATAGATAAGAACGGTAATGATACCAGGAAAAACTGGCAGTTAATAAAAAAATTCTTGAACAGCAGCGAGACCACATGCTTATCAAAAATAACGGTTGATGGACGTTCCCTTACCGAGCCACTCGATATCGCTAATGCTTTCAGTGATACTTTTGCATCAAATTCCCCCGATTCACTAGTTGACCTTCATTTCCCCATTCTATCTCGTTCACCTCAGTCTTTTTACTTACGTCCTACATCTGCAGACGAAGTCTTTCAAATCATGTCATCTCTTAAAACCAAAGGGCAAGGCTTAGATTCCATTCACCCGTCTAAGATAAAGCTCGTGGCACGTGAACTGTATCCTATTTTAGCTGAAATAATTAACAAATTGTTCAAAACAGGTGCATTTCCTGATGCTTTAAAGGTAGGAAAGATAACACCTGTTTTCAAAAAGGGCGATCGTTTGTCAACTAATAATTACCGTCCGATTTGTGTACTTCCTTTCTTTAGCAAAGTAATCGAAAAGCTTTTTTACTTGCGTTTGATGTGCTATCTGCCTAAATTTAACCTACTCTCTCCCCACCAATTTGGTTTTCGACCTGGCTACTCGACAGAGCTCGCCTTGCTCAGCTTTACTGACCGAATTAAAAGAGCCATAGACGATGGAATACTTACTGGGGCAGTTTTTATTGACCTCACGAAGGCTTTCGACACAATTAACCACCGAATCCTTCTGTGTAAACTTGAATCTTTCGAAATTCTGGGTCCCGCTTTGCAGTTCATTCGCAACTACTTAACAAATTGCTCACAGGTAGTTTATGTAAATAACATTGCGTCATCTGCTAAGCCAGTTACCATGGGCGTCCCTCAAGGTTCAATCTTAGGCCTTCTTCTATTCCTACTTTCTATTAACGACCTACCTAGTTACCTTAACCATACTAACTGTCTTCTTTACGCCGATGACACTACTATTTTTACATCCCAGAAAACAACTGCTGAACTTGAAAGTAGCTTAAACTCCGATCTCTGTAATATTTATCAATGATGTGTTAACAATCATCTTTATATGAATCCCTCAAAACTACATTTGTGGTGTTTTCATCCGCACAGAACACATTTCCCTCACCAGTTTCCGTATCTCTTAACAACCATATCATTTCCGTATCGGATCATGTGAAGTTCTTAGGCGTAATACTAGACAAGCATTTGAAATATAACTATCATGTACTCTCAATATTAAAAAAAGCTTCTTTTGGCATTCATGTTCTCATTAAAGCCCGCCCTTAGTTTCAGTCACGCATTATTTTATCATAATACTATGCATACATTCATAGCCATCTTTCCTATTGCATTTCATCCTAGCGTAATACATATGCCAGTCACCTGGAGCCCCTTCTATATCTTAAGAAACGGGCACTACGTCTGATCGCCTTCGCTCCATTTCAATTGCCTTCTACGCCACTCTTTATTTATTTTTCCGTGCTTCCAATTAATCTTTTATTCACTCTAAAGTTAGCTATATTAATGTACCGCCTCATTTATCATGGTCTATGTGCTTCAGGGCTATCCACACAACATCTTGTCAATACTAATAACACCCGGTTTTCAGCCTGTCACAATGTCCTTCTCCCTTAAGTGCGTAGCAATTATGGAAAACTAACTCTTAAATTTACAGGTGTATTCGTATGAAACAACATACCACTTGAAATAAAGTTATGTCCCACATTCTATTCGTTTCGCAAAATGTTTAAAGAGTACCTAATCACAAAACGTGTTTTCTAAACTCTGCCGTCGTGCCTTACTCCTAATCTTAGCATTTCTTTTACTCACTATACCACTTGCTGTTACACAGAACTTTTCTTGCCTTGTTGTTATGAAATTTTAATCATTCTTTGTTTAATTCGTACAAAGTGTTTTTCACTGTTTGCTGCATTGTTATCGCACTTGACTTATTTTCTAACGGAGGTCCCCCCGACAGTTTTCTAACTTCGGGACCTCCTCTGTACTGTATAATTTTATTCATGTAAATGTATGCATTCCTGAAATAAAGTTTGATTTGATTTGATTTTAAAAAAACAATGGTATCCAGTAGGGCATTCTATTCCTCAGCTGTCCAAATGACGAAAGATTCGGCAAATGTGGTAGTTTTGGGGCAAGGTATTGCAGATACATAGTGTTGCAGCAATGATCAGAGAAAAGGGCGCGTTGGGTGACGTAAACGCTGGATGGGGATGCGTGATAAAATGGATAGAATATCGCTGTTCTTTGTACACAAGTGCAAAATATTTTGCGATGCGCCCAAAGGATAGTTGCTGAAATAACGATCATTATATGAATTTTGCATGCATGTCATCACATATATAGAAAATAGCCAAGAAAGTTTACTCATTTTTCTTATTAGGAAGGTATCATAGGTCAGAAATATGGCATAAAACCTCTAGCTTCACAAGAAAGAACGACGCACGGGAACATTCCTCATGTGCTGTATGAACTTACCGGAGATGAATACCGCGTGAATGGTAAGTGCTCGTCAACAAACACAGCATGTTTATCTCATTTATCACTGTGCAGTTGCAGTTTGTGTTGTAGCGTGATCGGCTTCTAAAGAAAACACTGGAGCACGTACTTTAACAGTAACCCATGAAACCTCGCTACCTTTAACTTTATTGAAAAAATGTACTGATGCATAGACAGTGGAACAGTGTAAGTTCTCCTATGGAGTGATTATTTCAAGAGGCTCCAGTTCTTTTATTATGAGCATGTGCTTGCGAATTTCAAAGAACAGATTGGTGGGTTACATGGTAGTGCCTAACTTGAAGCTGTGGCGTGATAGTTCACACAGACTGTAACAGAGTACAACGGAACACAGCGCCAATCTCACAACTCAGTATTTAACGCAGGTCATCGCATACATCTGAACAAGACACCACACTAAAAGGAAAAAATACAGGGGCACCAAAGTAAGGGGCGAATGAGCACACAAGGCAATCGACCCAACGTGTCACAAAAGCGGCTGACGTGACAAAATTAGAATATCCATGCCAGATAGGTAGATTGAATGGCAGCTTAACACGTTTCTATGTTAATTATCAGCCAGTTCAATAATTGGTGCCTTCAGTCAATCTTAAATTTCCACTAGTGATTGCGAATGGCTGTACAGTGATTTGCAACCAAAACGCAGACAGTGTACAGCGAGGTGGCCTGAGAAGGTGCATTTTTCTCCATTGTATCTGTGGTCCCGCAATCGATAGTATATAGTAAGCCATAATATGAAAATGCTCACTTGCTTGTGATGATCGACTTGATTTACGTGACATGGCCTTCGTGCTCACCGGCTTTTTTGTTACGTTGATATATACCGGAATGCACGTGGTGAAAGAATTTTCTCTGACTAATTTCGATGACAAGTGGCAATGTGAAAATCATCAAGTTCACGTCGTGTATTTCGTGACTTCATGGCACGACCTGCATCCCGCGTTCAAGGCACGCTCGTGGCCACTCCGCTAGCTTTATACACACCAAAACTGGCTTACGGGACGTCACTGTACGATGAACAGAACTGACAAACGATAATATGACAATGATTAAACCGATGTCACGTGCAACATGTCGTATGATGCGTTCGCAGCCATTTCGCTAGCTTTAAACACAACAAAATTGGTTGCGCGCGACATTAGTCTATGACGACGATGAACGACAAGTAGAATATGACAACCATGACAGTGATGTCATGCACAGCCTGTCTTTAATGCCTCCATCATGGTGCACTTACATTGATCTCTCTAGCGTCATAAACACAAACATTGCTATAGCGTGTTATCACAGGATGTGGACCATAAAAGACTGTTGTTAATATGTAAGTCGTGACGTTTACTTAATGTAAAACATGATCATGCTCTTCCTGTCTGTTTTACACTACTGCGGTATCTGAAGCGCATAGGATCTACTAGTCTTTTCTTTTTTGTCATGAACCACTCCTTCCCTGCACATTTTTTTTTGCCATAAGGCACGCACATGGCCCCTTTTGCGCCAACTTTGAACGACATTGCCTTGAACATTGTTGCTCTTGAAAGCGTTGTACCTATAATAAAATAAACATTAGTCATTTCAGGTATTTCTCAAGCGAAAATTTCTGTAAGCGAATATGCTAGATCAGGTTTTTGTACGGCTATTGATCTGCCCACAAGCCTAGTTTCTGACAATGCTATTCTAATTTCCGTCCAGTATCAAAATTATCAAAAAAATAAGCCCGACAGCGCTACGACATTCTCTCCTCGAATTTTCAATGTACACAATCAATACAAGAAAACTGTGCATTCATTCACACTTATCTAATACGCAATGAGTTCATTCTAAGCAAAATTTGCAGGTTTATAGACCTTCGTTTTCTCATCTTTATTGATAATTATGTGCACCAAGGCATAATGGTTCCCTTTACGACTGTGTTCTCATCATGTTGAATATGTGAAATTGCTAAAAGATAATATTGCACTCATTTCTCTAACCTTGCCTGCTTCTGTAATAATCTATTACTTTAAATACATTTTTGTAGCAGTACGTAGGCCAGCAAGTTCCTTCGTTTCACCAAGGAAGAACTCAAATCAATGTAAGTCGATAGCACGGTTTGGTAGACTGTCGTAGTGCTGCGTATTTGCACTATATACAAGGTAGTTTGTCATGGCTATATTTCAGGGCCCCCAGAAAAAATAGAAGTAGAGCTTATGGTTCTTGCGGACAGTGCTTTTCGAAAGCAATTTCCAACAAAAAACAAGATGCTGGAGTATATTATAATAGAAGTGAATTCTGTGAGTGAAATTCATCATTTTATAGTAATTTCACCATTAAAAAGATATATACAATTTGCTACGTTAGTGACATAACTTATGAATAGTGCAACGTCTTAGTGCTATGCCCGTTTTCTCGCCTTATATACATTTCACCAAGAATGAACGCTTACAGCAAACATTTTCTAATTTCACTTTGATGTCTTCACATTTATTTTGAGCAGGTGAACATAAAGTATCTAACAGTGTCAGAGCCAGAAGTACGGATAATTTTGTGTGCTGTGGAGGTTATGAACGTAAGCTATCAAGAAAATTATTACAGTAACTGATATAGAAGTGTAATTTTGTGTCCTGACAACTTGGTTTTATTTGCCAGCACATAGCTGAAGATCTTTTCTACGTACGTCACAGATGGAATAAAATTATAGCATATCATACTCTACTGAGACTGGAAACGCACGTCAGATACAATTATTCGAAATACAGTTCCTACGATGCAGTATACGTAACAACAGGGTGAGTATCGGAGCGCTTCCAAGTCCTCAATACCAAAGAATGCTGTCGTAATGCCTACTGTTCTTTTACCAACAAATCCACAGTGTTGATATGGGTGAAGAAGGGCTCAAAGGGACCTGGGACTCGGCTACACTAGGCAAGTGACAAAACTGCATGACTTTGAGTGTACATTGCCTAAACAGTTTACGTGTTTTGTTACCCGAACTTGAGAGCACTTTATTTGAACGCATATTTCGTTTGTGGTGGGGTTCACCAAGTGTACATAACGTCATCTTGTCGCAGAAATGTACACGAACCGAGGCAAAGAAGAACTGAAGAAAGGTTTTTGTTTAGTTAAATGACCTGCATCGACCCCATGTAGGTTCACGCCAATAGGTCTCTGCCCCTAGAACCCAAACTCTAGTGAAACACACGCGCAAGATTTCGCAAACACGTATTTTATCTCACGTCCTGCTCTAACAGCGATCTCAGTTTGACGGCTTAAGTGATGTAGGTTTTTAAGACACTCAGCTGCGTTGAAAGGGTTGTTTCAAGGCATCATTGAGAGTGACGTTTCATAGGCCCACTCTTCATCGTCACCGTCACCGCCATGGCTGTTGAAGCTCCCTGCACCGGCAAGTACGCCGAGCGAAGTAACGGGTGTGCTGCCACTGCAGCGCTGCGGGAGCTCCGGTGTGGTGACAGATGGCTGGCGCAGCGCTGAGCGGGCAGCACACTCACTCGCTTAGTCTTTCTAGCCACCGAGCGCAGTAGACTCTCTCCCCAGCTACTACCCACCCTACCGCCTTTGTTAAATATTGTGTGAACTACGAAGCTAGTCGCTATCATCATTAGGGGATCGGACTGGAATTTGAAATAAAGAAGAGGTGGATTGGGTGGGCTTTGCCATGGGCACGGCGGCTCGTCTTTTTCTCTACATTTTGTTCTTTCTCTTGCCTGCCCTTGCCTTGGGAGCATCAGCCCTTTCACTCTGCGTTGGTCTGGGCTGTCTTATTCGGGGGGGGGGGGGGGGGGTTGACGTTGTGTTTTGTGTTGACATTTCCCATCTTCGCTAATATATGCCGTGCCAACCACAGTCTGTTTAATCTTGACTTCGGTGGCTTACCCGAAGTGCCGTAGTTTTGATAAGCACTGGCAGTAGGCTTTCATTTTCTTGCTGACTCTAAATTTCTCTTCCCTTGGTCAAACGGCCTTGATTTTGTTTCATCAGGTATTTGGTTGCAGAGACGTGAGGACTGCAATACAACAAAATCAGCCGTGTTTGGCGTGCAACTATCATCAAGCTCTCGTGTGTCACCCTTCATACAAGTCTCTTCGAGCATGTGCACTTGAGTTGCTGTAACTCTCGTGTCGTTTCCTTCATTGATAATGTACGCTGATGGAAGTTCTAAAGGCTCTCTACAATGAGATCACATAAACCGTGTTGTGATTTCTAAAATGAGATCGCAACACGGTTCATGTTCTAGCCGTAGTTGTCCGCCGCCAGTGTCTGTAACCACTATTTTATAAAAAACTCAGTAAATAAAAACAACTAATGACACAATGGCATTTGAACCCGGGTCCCTGCGTGCCAGCCCAGCATTCTATCACTGAGCTTTGTACCGCACAAAAAGTTTTATTTATTTATTTATTAATACTGTAACCCTCACTTGAGGGTCATTACAGGGAGGAATATAAACACAAAACAAAAACAATACACAATGACAAAACAGACATTACGTTTCATGTTTTCATGAAAGTTTAGACTCACGCGTTAGCGAAAAATGACGGACTCGTGGTGGAAATAAAAATCGCGAAAAACTACAAAAAAAACAAAATGCTGAGAAAAGGACGAGCCACCGTGCCCATGGCGAAGCCCACCCGATCCACCTCTTCATTATTCCAAATCCCACTCCAACCTTTTAATGATGATAGCGACTATCTTCTTCGATCACACAATATTTAACATCCTCCACGCCCCCACAATGACGCATGACGACGAAGAACACTAAAAACACACCCAGGTTCTTAGTGCAGAATGCTAGTCAGTACTTATACGAGTTCCAAGTCAGTCCATATGGGATAATCTAAGTTTTCTGCTGTGCCGGCTCTTCCAGCAATGTTTCCGATGCTTGTTCAAAATGCATGCTTTTGAACGTGTTCCCCATGGTGGACTTTCGACGATCACTTTTAGTTCACATGAACAAGGATGATGCAGTCTCTTCCACGATGTTTTACTGTAGCGCGCTTTGAACAGTTTTCTTGATTTTCTCGTCTTGCTTTTGCTTACCTGAGAAGCACCAGCCACCTCTTTCTGTTTTGGTCTGCTCTATCTTATACGTGGCTGTGTCGTGTCCTCAACTTCTAGTGGGTGGTCCCTTGGGTCTACAAAGTCTTCCCCTTTTTAATCACGGGAATGCCTTCCACTTCGAACACCGGAGTTGTAGTTGTCTTCACAGCAGGTTCCCGGGTATTGAGCTTGACGAACGTTCTACGAGCGTGGGCCAGATCCTTGTAAGTAGCGGCTGTTTTGTGCAGGTTCCTTCGATGGTCGTAGCTTCAGTCAAGGTCCTGATCGATTGGCTTCCACCAAGTTCAAGAATATGTCCCGAGGCCGATTCGACTGGCATCTGTAATAGAAGATTGTTGTCCGATATGCCTTGGCTTGATGGTGGGGACGCAGACGTAGAGATTGCCTTTCTTTGTGCTTCCAATTTATTCTGTAGCCTTGTTGTCTCCAAACGAGCTTGCCGTGCCCTAATGCGTCGGCGATTTTATATTCAGTTCTTACTTTCGCTAGAATGATCTGGCGCTTATAAACTTCCGCCTCCTCCATCTCAGCTTCCAAATAATCGATGTCAACTGCATCCTCTACTTCCTTGTAGATTCTTTTGAGTTACTCAAACTGCTCAGTCAACACTCGGTGAATACGTCGTAACTCACAGATTGGTGGGTGATCCCATTGCCGAAGACGTTCGACGTCTGCGACGACCTGCGTGACGGCCTTGCGTGTTTGACTCCGCCTTTCGTAGAGGGCCTCCATGATCCGGTCCGGTGTCCGAAACGTGAGAAGTCGCTGGCCGGCCGTGTCGCTAGGTGAAGTCGGAGTCAACACGGCATTCATCGCAGAAGGTTCGCACAACGAATATCCGTCACTTGTCGGGCTGTCATTCTTCGTGATCTTGTGCATATCGGGCCATCGTCATGAAGGGCGAGTTAGTACTGAGACGGAGAAGACGTGAGGGCTCCCGTCTCGCGAGCCTCCATACGGTGCCTGCACTCACGTTGATCCACCTTCAAGATGTATGTAGTCGTCTTCCAGGCACTATCTTGCCTTGCGATTACCGGGCCGTCGTCATGAAGGGCAAGTCAGGACGGAGCCGAATCAAACGTGAGGGCGCCCATCTCCCTAGGCTCAAGACGATGCCCGCACTCATGGGGCTGCACTGCCAAGGTGTACTTCGTTGACTTATGGGCTGCCTTGTCTTGTGAATATCGGGCCATCGCCGTGAAGGGCGAGTCAGGACGGAGCCGAAGTAGGCGTGAGGGCTCCCGTCTCGCAAACCTCCAAACGATGCCTGTACGCAGGTCAGTCCATTGTTGCTCCCAGTGGTCCCAATTTCTACCAGAGTCATGCTCCCAGGTCTCGGCGGTGGCTAGGCCTCGAACGTCAGCTTTGCCCACGACGGCTTCACAAAACTCCTCGTGGCTACGACGGCGGTCTAAATTCGGTAAGTCCGCTCCATTTCACCTCCAAAGGCCCTTCCTCCCGGGTTTCGGCACCAAAATGTAGAGAAAAGGACGAGCTGTCGTGCCCATGGCGAAGCCCACCCGACCCACCTCTTCTTTATGCCGAATGCCAGTCCGATCCCCTAATGATTATAGCGACTATCTTCGTCGTTCACACAATATTTAACAGCCTTCAAGAAAGCCAGAAGTGAGATTATGCACATAGTAATTTGTGTCCCATTTCTAAAGAGCTTCACTGATGGAGTGCATTCGTACACGGAAGAACTGTCCTTTTTTGTAGAAAATATTACAGTGAGTGTAATGCATTTTGCGTAGTAGTGAATCTTTCATATGCAGTGATAATATATCTCCACCATTTACTTTTTTGAGTGTGGTAGCCATAGGTCAGCAAAAAAAAACATGTTACTCAGACTCACTCGAAAAATATGTATGCCTTGGACTCACTGGGACTCAGACTCCACGAAAATTTCCTGAGCCGAGTTTTCTCGGACTCACACTAACGAATTTTTTCTGCAACCAGGCCCCATCGGATTCAAGTTCACCAAAATATTACTCACCCAGACTCAATCAGACTCAGCCTCACGGCTTGAACTGGGTGTGATTGCACGAGTCCACTCATGAGCGAGTTCGCCGACCTATAGGCATAAAGCCGAGTAATAAAACGGTGGCAATAAGTGGCACAAAAAGGCAATGACGTCGATTGGCGAATTTCGCACAGTCAGTGCTTCAGTGTCCCGCAAAGCACACTGGCATGATGCGGAACGTCTTTCCGTGTACGCGGCTAAATCAACCAACTTTAGCTTCTCACATTCTGAACCGCGTTGCTGTATAAATATGAGAGCAGACCTATAGCACTCTTGGTGGCCTAAATTAGCCGGAGCCATCAACTACGGTATCCTATGTGACCTCTATCTAGGTTACCTATACATGAGATCACCTAGCTTTGCGTTTCTCTCGCAAAATGACACCAAAGTGAATGGCTGCATATCAATTGCACGTGTTTATGATGTTCTTGTTGATTCTAACTTATGTGTGGTGTTCATTAGCCTGAGCTACCACAACGTTGTACCTCAGCAACCACAACCAGCTAGGAATACCTCAGCTACCACAACGTCATATCGGGATCTCGGACGTTTTCCCGGTCGCGGCGGCTGCATTGTCAATGGAGGGGAAAATGGTCGAGGCCCGTGCACATAAATTTAGATGCCAGGCGGAAATTCCCTGCTAGACGGAATTTTCGGAGCCCCCGCTACGGCGTATCTCATAATCGTATCGTCGTTTAAGATGTTACACCCCAACAATTAGTATTGTCGAATCATCGATGTTAGCCGTTGAGTTAGCCGCAAGCATCGCATCCACTGCGTGGCGTGTGAATCGTAAGGTACGTTTCAAGCAGATAAATATACTAGCGCGTAGCAAAAACATGTGTGCTCAAAAATATGTGTAAGCTTCTACGATCAGAACAAAATGTAATAGTTGTGCAAGCTAGGCCTTCATGTCATTACACGATGCAGAAATGTCTTTTTTGATGGATCAGGTGTGTTAGCACTTGTGTTTGTCTGCACTTCTGGGTGATTCTGTACGGAAGGCCAATTTTAGTAACACTCTGCGCTGTTCTTTGTGGTGTCTCTTCTCAGTTCCGCGATTAATTTTTTTGCCAGCCTACTTTCAGTGGGTGTTTTAGCTTAGTCAAAGCGGAGTTATAATGTATACTTCGTATACGCTGTGACGCTGTACAGATAAGTGCCTTGCGTTAGGTTGTGACCTGGTCATTTTATTGCGATAGCACTTTTATGAACATTCTTGGCTAGATTTCGCCGCTGGCGTTGGTGTCAATCACTGTATATATATACCTATCTATAAATATGAAAATGCAAGAAAGGAAAAAAAATAGAAAAGACTCCACCGCGCGGAATCGATCATGGGACATCCGCGTCATGAATGCGAGGTGAGCCACCGAAGGGCACCTCCTTGAACGGTAAACGGCAATCTATTTATATCTACCACTTACCGTTGTTGGCAGGTGTCTCGGGGAGAGAACTATCGTGTTTTCATGTTTTCAGCATTATAAGCAAGATGGCGCAATGAGCGCGCGGCGGATCTCTCACGCGTACTTTAACCCGCGGAGAGGAGGGACACGACGACCTCTCGCGTGCCTTTATCTCCCGGTGTGGAGGATCATACGTCTTGGCTAGCGTTGGGCTTGCGCACGAACAATTATGTTTCAGTTACGGGGTGCACAAAGGTTACGGCAATCGTTGCGCAGTCTCCTTTTGCGAAAACGGCGTGCTTTTGAGGCCCAGCAAAGTGGCAGTTCAGACGCTTATTCACGTTGATCTGTGCCTGGGAGTACGTTTTGTGCGTGATTTGTGCTTGCGAATCGCTGGGCACGTTTCAATCTGCTTGCAATTCTGTGTGGGATTTTTCAATTTGTTGCTGTCGCGTTCATTGCTTCGCCTTTACGGCAAAGCTGCTACTTTTTTTAGGTGTGTCGAGATTGTTACTCTAAGGTAACAAGCAAAGTGCTTCGAAAGTGGAGAATTGAGAGCACGAGAGAATCAAACATTTATTGCTTATGATATTAGTGCGAAACACCATTGACCCTTGGCCCCATCCAGCTTTGATCAACCAGGGCCTGTTGCTGCACTGATTGAGAGCTCGACAAGGTCGCTTCCTACTCGACTAATGTAGGAATATGGTTGGCTGATATACTGCGATTATTTTGGCACTGGCAGACCTTGTGATATAAAGTGGCTGTCTGGGCGCAGAATATACACTTTGAATTGTGCATTGAAGGGTCTATTTTGGCAAATACATGAAGATTTGGAAATAATGATGATTGTAATCATCTCCACGCGACCTTTGATGCCTTACCTGATGTAGAATGAGGTAGGGTAGATTGTGTCTATTGAGTCTGATGTCTTTCAAAATGTTAGTTTAGGAAAAGAGGGGCTGAGAATCATCCTGGTCAGCGAGAAGCTGCGCTGTGGATGAAGCAGCGGAGGCCCAGTTTAGGAAATCGTGGACGGAGGTGTGAGTGAATTCATAGGCTCTAACTCATGTGTGCCCTCGTACACATAGCATTTGTCTCCATTAATCTTCTTGACGAGTGGGCGGTGCCCGTTACAGAATTGAATGTGCTAAGCGGCCAGCCTGACTTCTCGCGAAATTGCGATACGCCACCTGGGAATCCGTGAGCAAAAAGGTGGCTTTTCAGTTACGCATGGTAAGGCTATAGCAGCCTTTTTCATGGATGTGGTGTCCATTCCGGTGGCTGAGTTGCAGTCCAAGACCTGTTCCTAGTTAACCACGGCTGACGTTACGCGGTCGTGCAGGGGTTCATCGGCATTCACAAGGAGGCGTCTACGCTATTCGAATGTTTGGTAAATGCTTTGGCTCTTATCGCTGGTTTGTTTTTGTGGTGGCCGGGGTAAATATTTTGTGAAAAGGCCGAACGTGAACTTCTTTTTGTCATTCTTGTGGCAGTGATAGTCCACGGGTGACCGGCATTGGTAAATTTCAGCAAAGAAAAAGTGTCAGTTTTTTTCTTGCATACATATCTTCGAATAATATTCACTTAAACAATTAGGAACATTCCGCACAAATAAATACAAGTGCTGCCTTCATTTAGTGCTTTGTTTTGTTTTTTGCAATATTATTATACATTCCTCCCAATGATGCTTGCTGTTTTTCGATAGATAACGCTGGAAATGTTTAAATAAACGTGCAATAATGTTGTGATGCAAAAACTGATCAATAAAAGGTGAAAAACACAGAGACGTTTCAGATGACATCACATTTTTGCATAGAAAGCAACATATGGCTCTTGCCTGTTAGTGGAAACAATTGCGAACCCGTATAGGTTTGTAAACGTCTCGATGTATTTTTTTTATTTTGACTTGGCCAGTGAAGGCATCTACAGCTTCATCATGATGCTAACCAGACAAACTTTCGTCGAACTTTGACTACAAAGCTATACAATGCATTTTCTTCATTGAACTTGTGGAATGACAACAAATCCCAAACTGTTACAGGCATCGCATATATCGGAGGCGTTTGTTCAACCCAAAAAGTGGGCATTGGCGAAGACAAAGCAGGCACGTATAGGGGAGTTAGGGTAATTGCTCATGAATTGGGACATCTGTAAGTATTCTCGTATACCTGAGAGGCTATGATTTGTTTAAAGCATGCTTTAGTAGTGTTAACGTGCTGGCTGATGACGCGCAAAAATACTTACGCAGCAGGTGAAATACCATTTTTGGGGCCAAAATGCATAGGCCATGGTGAAGGTCACGTGGATGGTGTGGTTTCCGATAAAAATAAAGCATAGGCCGTCGAAATCCGCACAAGCGATATACAGTGAAGCTTGACAATTCTGAAGAATAACATAGTTGCTTCCAGCTCTACTCAAATTGTTAGTCACGTGATGCAAGTGTTTCTAGATTGCTTCCATGTGATATTTAGGCTTTAGATAGGTGATGCTAGATTGTTTATACAGTGATTTGCAGATCAAATTGGTCATAGTTTTCCCATCAACACTCACAGACACGACACGGTCACATCTTTCTTGGCATTTGCCTTTCATCGCTTTGGGGCTTTTTCGCAGCCGCCAGTGCTTTTAGCGTTTCCAAGCCCTTTCAAGTCGGGTATTTAATTCTACCGAAAATTTTTTTCCTTTTTTACGTTTTATAGGTACGTTTATGTGATTACGCAGTAAAACTAGCCAAAAAGTATATCTAGTCCGTAATTTCAAATAGGTGCAATTTCGACACATGCTGCGGAAGCGAGGATTGTGCAATAAAAAATTTGCTTCAAAACAATGCATTTTGTGGGGTGCTACTTCATAAGCATATACGCAACAAAGAAAAAATATATACAAGAATGAGCGAACTTCACTGCGGTGAAAAACATTGAAAAGGGGGGAGCTGTTTCACATGCATCGCCCTCTCCGTCATCAGCTCTACACTTTATTCTAGCATAAAATTTCTTACATGAGACGCTATATGATTTATGTTGAAAGCTTTGGTCCCCATATGTATTTAAAATGTATATATAGGCAGCACGCATTTCGTAACTTCTTTTTGCTCTAAGGTTTGGCACTAAAGTGTTTTATCACTTCCACAGACGTACTTCCGTTACGGAGGTGATGTTGAAAAATATAAGATATCTCCCTAAATCTTCCCCATAGCATTTGATGCTCCCTGATTATATGGGTTCCCGGGCAGATTTAAATGATAGAACTCAGGCAGCTGCTGTGATATCACTCGTTTGATGGTATGCAGCCTCATTTATTGAAAGGTGCAATGCCTATGTTTCAAACTAGTGCAGACATCTTCATGGGAGGTATGTTCTGCGATAGCCTGTCACGCGTATACCATATCACGACGTATGCACAACAAAATTGTGCTTCTCAATTCATGTTGGCGTCACTAAAATTGCAAATATCGTGGTAAGCAAAATATATGTGGTGTTCGGGCGCACGTAAGAAGAGAAAACCAATAACTTAACAAGTTCTATCGAAAAAGTGAAAGGCAACCATGTGGGCTGCACATGTTACACTGCATCAATCGACGCAATGAACGCATGCACTCTTCAAATGCACGATATCTCGACAACGCCATGATGAAATATTGGAAAAGCTGCTTTCCCCGGTGGCATGCTTAAACTAGAAAGCGCATCTGCATGATTCTGGCGAGAATATATCTACGACAGGGAAGGCCAAGTAACATCAGTAACCTCTTGCCGTGACTCCATCACAGGGACTATTCCAGCCAGCTAGGAATGCCGCTAGTAGTCTTTCGCTCCTTCAGGATGTTTATAAGCTCTCTTGGTTGAGAAGGCACGCTGCTAAGTAGTGCTGGAGTCTCCAATGATGTTGTACCACTGGTGTGCCATCTCCTCTTCCGAAAGTGGCGCCTAAGTCAACTTGCAGGCTGAGCTGCTTCCGTTCGGGCGGAATGCTCTCTCGCCACCTTCTGTAGAATCCGTGTTTCTTCTTGAAGTTTCATACACAAGTTCGATGTCGCATCACGCGACACGAAAATTCTCCTATATGTCGGTTATATACTTGCTCAAAGTTAGTACAAGATATGCTGATCTCCATGTTGTTGTGTGGGGCAATGTATGGGGGTGCTGCAAAGCGCCGAGCAAGTCTCTGTGTCTTCATTATAACCGCCTATTGCCAAATACGTTGCTGGCTGGCTCCCAGGGACGCGGAACACCCACGCAGGAGAAAAAAAATGGCCCTTTATCTGCATGCTTCGCTGCAAATGTCGTCGAAAGACGATAGTCTTGCGCCTGGAGAGTGAAAGAGACGTTTATTTGATGTTTTGCGCGAGTAAATTGGTGAATCGTGTTCTAGATGCGCTGCGTCAGAGTGTCTCGATCCATGCAGTGAAGGTGAAGGAGCGCATCAAGGCACGTTATGCACGAGTGCTATCTGGCAGTTATCTTGGATAACGAAGGAATATGTGCACGCCTGTCTCGAAGGCGATAAGGTGTAGAACGCAAATCGACGGGCAGGTGCCACCACCGTGTCGTCTTAGCAAAGCGTTGAAAACACTTGGCTTTTTGAGCGTGCTGCGTTGCAGTGTCAGCGCAGCGTGATAAACGGTACGGTCCTTAGAATTACTTTTGTATGCCTTCTCTAGTTTAGAGACACACATACAAAACATCAACGTGCTGTTATGGTGCCTCAGATATGCGCAATAGTTGTTTTTAAATTGACTATTGCACGAGTATGACGCTGAAACTTCAGCAATATTGGTGGGCACTGCAGATGGGGTTGGCCGTTTGAGGTATCAGTTTGTGCCATTTGGGATACCATTAGCACAGACAGACAGACAGACAGACAGACAGACAGACAGACAGACAGACAGACAGACAGACAGGCAGGCAGGCAGGCAGGCAGGCAGGCAGGCAGGCAGGCAGGCAGGCAGGCCAAATTTTTCGCGTTGAAGTCTATCTTAGAAATACTATCATCTTTAAAAGACGACTCGGCCGTTCATGTCACTTAGGAGAAAAGAGGGCAGAGCCGAACGGAAGACTTGTCGCGCAGGAACGAGGTGACGTGCGGCCGTGCGTTTTCAAGTTGACATTGTGTCATTCGCGTGCATCCTTTGAGAATGCCGTAAGGACACACACAAAAAAAAGCTTTTTGACCACATGGCCAACCGAGACTACTCCATGGGGAGTGCTTCTGGTGAAATATAGATTTCGAATAATGTGGGCGATCTTGAACCAGTGTAAACGTCAATACTAATGGACCATGGGGTAGTGGAGCGTCTTGGTGTCGCGTGCACATATTGTTAGTGGCCAGGGCTTGACAATGTTCTCGCCGCTGTGTGGGCGACTTCTTCAAAGAGATGTTTAGTGTGCGAAATGATGCAGGCCGAGCATGGCAAAGGCGCCAGTGGTCATCACGGTTGATATTCGGGCCATAACGTAGGGTAGAGTGTGATGACACATGTTGCGCTGAGATCCTATTTCCTTGCGGGTTGTATATTCTGGTGTGCTTTTTGCCGATACCATACTTGTCTGTCAAGAAGGTGTTCGTGCTATTCTTTGTGGTGATGTGAATCCCAATGTGTGATTAGCTTGTTTTTAGACCGTTTGTTTGACCGATGGTTGAAGAAATGATGATTGCATGTCCATTGAAAAATAGAGATTCGCTTTCTACCCTGGCAAGTGCATGAGTGCTGCAATAAAGCGTATCTTTACCGGATAACGGCTCGTTTCGCGCACGTCCACAGAGCCTTCAAGTTATGAAAGGGCGCTGATTGCTAATCTGAAATACCTTTTTTCCTTAGCTAGTGTTGAATTTAGTCGAGAAAGAACCACATACGAGCGGGAAACAACTATTGCTTCATTAGATAGGGTATTTGCGATCTTTCTGAAAATGAAATCATTATTAGTTAGGTCTTGGCATTTTCATGTCATCGCTATACCTGTCACAGGGCATCTCACATACATATATTCACCCTGATATTCACTATTCATATATAAATAGTGGATAGTTTTTCTCAAGTTTACAAAAATAAGCTCACGTAGAACGATTACACTCACTTATAACTGTGCAGCTCGTAGTAGCACTTTGAAATGCATCTTTTTGTTTCCTGTTTTGTTTTTAAATTTGCCAAAACCTAGACTTGGATGTCCCCACGATAGTGAACGGTACCCTGGGTTCTCATCGAGGCACTGTCCTTGGTCTGATGGCTACATGATGACCTACCTTAGCAATAGCAGCAACAGCATGAAATTTTCCAAGTGCTGCAACCAAGCGATTACGTCGTTTGTTATGTAAGTACATCGACATAAGCAGCGTAAACAGTAGCATTTCAATTTCTTTCAAAAACAAACGCACTTCTGAAAGATGGGCTTCTGTATGGGCTATTTCGAACATACTGTCTTATAAAGGCAGTGCTGCTAAGATGAAAAAAAAAAACTGGAATGACAAAGGTGAAGTGCGAAAACAGCCCAAACAAAGCTGTTCGTCTGGTTTGTCCCTTTGTTGTGTGCTTTCACTTAGCTGAACTGCCTTTCACATACAGCATGACTAATAGGTTTCGTATAACTGGCAACCAGATGTAGTTGACTTAGCATATGCAAGAAAGTGTCCACACGTAGGGCTGATTATTGCTGGCAATTTTTTAGATGCCAAATCAGTGATTACGTAGTTGTAATTCTAGCTCCCTTAAGCTTGTACTTAACTTTAAGCATGGGTGTTTCAAAACAGCTAAGAAGATTTTTTTTATCATAAAACAACATTTTGTTTAGACATTAGCAAGCACTTTAGGCCTACGTTAAGATCGCGTGCTTCAATAACTCGTGCAACACTTCATCGCTCACGTAATTGTGTGGCGTGTAAATTTATAGTATTCAAATATCTTGTTCTTTCTACAACTGTTCCTGTCGCAATGGCTAGTTGAATATAGTGAAAAGACCAACGGAGTGTAATACAGACGACAAACACACAGAAAGAAGTCTTATGTCAATGAAGCCTACCCACGCACGTATTCCAGATCATGTATAATGTTTTTTCACAAACCCTATTTCTATCTGCACTAAAAGCTGTGAAAGTTACCTTAGATAATTTTGTTAGTATTACAGTCAAATATGACATTTGTTTATTTCTCCTTTTGGACTTACTTGGCACAACGCGAATGTCTTCTGACTTAGAAAGAATACTCGACCACTTCTAACAGTAGTCGCGAATACTACAGCATACTTGAGATGCCTTAGTCATAACAGTGATCATATATACTCGATTGGCACACCCATATGTGTCATTTGGTTGATGTTGCAGTTTGCTACAATACTCACCTAATTGTTCAATAGAGGGCGTGTGAACATTAGGTGTCATCGCAAATTTCCGAAAAAAATACACATTTATAGCGCCCTGACACACAGCCCAAGGACGGCTCAAGTGCTTTCTTAAAAATTGGTCACATATGAAAAAAGTTGGAGCTCATGAAAAAGAATACTATATGCTAATTTCTTCCTTAGAGTGCTAAACAATGCATAATAACTGTACAGCCCAATGAAATGCTGTGGAGTGAAAGTGCGCTTGTGATTGAGAGCCTGTGATTGCGGACTTGTACGGACAGGCGATGAGTCACAAAACTATGGCATGAACGAAAACCTCTCTTTCTTCGAAAAAAGGCAACTTTCAGGTTGTCGCAGCTTGTGCTCTTACCACAAGTGCCACTTGTTGAGAATCCCGGCTGCGGCGGCTGCATTTCCGATGGAGGCGGAAATGTTGTAGGCCCGTGTGCTCAGATTAGGGTGCACGTTTAAGAACCCCAGGTGGTCGATATTTCCGCAGCCGTCCACTACGGCGTCTCTCATAATCATATGGTGGTTTTGGGACGTTAAACCCCACATATCTGTCTTGTTGAGAAGATACCGAGCTTATATTGGCGTAGTTGGCGTGTTTTTTTTTTTTGTGAACGATAAATATTGAATAGGGCTTCTAAATGAGATTTTGGTATGTAGGACTACAAGAAGGACGTGTCTCTTAACAAGAACAGGAATAAGGAACATAAAGAAAACGTTTGAGACAAACAAACTGCCCGGAGACGTTGTAACTAGAGACGAGTTCTGCCGATTGTCTTTTCCGGATATCGACGACATTCGTTTCGCCGCAGTAAGTTTTTCTTTTACTCTGTAACGCTAAGGTTTTTCTTCTGAAACTGGATAAATAACAATAGAAGTACACTATACAACAAAAATTAGGGGATCCTCAAGTTTCGCTTCCAAGATTTTTACGCACTAGTCATACCTTGTCCCGAGTGGGTAGTTCATTTAGTGCATAAACTCTTTTCGAAGTGCCTGTGCACCCACAACGTGGCCTCAAGGGAATAGACGAAGTAACGTGTTTGCATTTTGTGACGGGGGACCAGCAGTCTGGACCATGAACTCATCATGGTAACCACATCTTCTTACACAGATGGAAATGTACGCTTGTATCATGCATTAATACTGCAATATTTTATGTTGTATCGTGAAGCATGTATACAAATACGTGTATTTGCAATGCATAAGTTACTTCATTGCATTTTCAAGCAGAGCAAGTTCTTGTCACTGTATTCAGAAGTGGACCCGTCGCTGTGTGATGGAACGCACGTTTGCTACGCAAACGTCCCGGATTGGATCCTTGCTCGGACTAGAATATTTCAGTATACATTTTATTTGCACCTTTCGCTATTTATGGTCACGCACGTGATGATTATTTTTCCCTCACAACCAACGGCGCCAACAGCGTACTATGACTGATGACGATATTGCTGCGAAGCGAATTTTTAAACGCGGCCGCAATTACATAATCAAGAGTCTTTTTTTAAATGAAATGGAAGTATAACAATAAGTCGACTCTCGCTGGTCGGCGTGGCCCTGCAGAAAATGATAAATATTCAGCAAAACTTGTGAAAACGTCAAGAACAGCTGAGGCAATGAGCGACCACCACAGGTCTATATGAGAAATAGCAGTATGAAAATAATGCCCCTGAGTTAAGCACACAAGAGTGCATTCAACGGTAGTGCTGCCGTTGTGTTAGGTCTCGTACTGGAACAGAGTAACTTGCTGGAGAAACGGCCGTGATCGCAACAAAAAATAATAAAGGCTGCTGCGCCACGTCAAAAAAGTTGTTCATTTACGGTGAATAGAATCGAAGCTATACTGTTTTTTTTATCCGAAATGCATTTTAATATGTGCTTCTTTCTTTTCTTTATTGAAACTTTCATATTCATGTAGCAAAAAACTTCGCAAACACTTGTTTGGTCCCATAGCCTAACTGGCTAGTAGAGGGACCAATTGTGTGACATACCTACATACTTGCGCAAGCGGTTACACAGCGACAAAGGACATCAAACTGGACACAATGTTTAAAATAGAAAAAAAAGTAAAAAAACCCATGATTGAACTATACAAAGAAACATAGCGCAGAACATAGCTACTTATAGCACAGAATAATAATAGCACTAGAATAGTACTAATAATAATAATAATAATAATAATAATAATAATACTAAACGACTATGCAGACGTAATACTTAGAAAGTTCGCATGAAGTGCATGCTTCATGGCCAATGAAAAATTTCTAGCCTCTTTCACATCAGTCGGTATCGCATTTCATATGAGAGCGCCGTGAAATTCTATGAGCCTTCGACCGTAAGCATTTCTGGATACCAGTAAATTAAAACAGTGATTCGCTGCAGCTCTTGTACAGCGCGCGGGTAACGTAAAGGTGCTTAATGAGAAAGGGTCACCACGTTTTATTATTCCATGCACTATATCAGCAACACTAAACACGTGAACAGAGTCCAGTGGAAGTACACGCATCATTTGAAACATTGGTTTTGCAGTATCCGTCCTGTTTGAATATGTAATAATCCGGACTGCCCTCTTTTGCAGGCGGCTAATGCATTTCAAATGAGTTTTATATGTACTGCCCCACGATGCTATACAGTAGCTCAAGTGACTGTGCACGAATGCAAAATATAGGATGCGCAAAATCGATGTGCCAAAACATTCACGGGCTTTTAGTTGCGTGTGACACCCATATGCTAGCTTGGAGCATGTCTTTTCTATATGCGATTTCCAGTTCATGTCCGAGTCAAACATGACCCCTAAGTACTTAAACGAGGCTACTGGCTGTTGCAGTGCCGTATCTAAAACCAAGTTGAAACCTGCAAAGTCGAGTTCTTTTTTCCTAGAGTGAAAGACCATGCATTTAGTTTTCTCTGTGTTGATATTTAGGAGGTTTCGTTTAAACCATACTTGTACTCTCTGTAACTCTTCGTTAATTTTATCTTCCATGTCTCTTAAGCTGTCACCAACAAAGATTAGTGCTGTATCGTCTGCGTACATTAAAGCTTCTGAATATAGTAGGATGGAGGGAAAATCGTTAATATACAGGGAAAAAAGAGTGGGTCCAATAACTGAGCCTTGTTGTACCCCAGAGACTGTTGATTGAGTAGAGGACTCGACACCATTCATCACTACTCGTTGCTGGCGGTCGGATAGGTATGATTTGAGAAGATGGTGAATTTTGCCTCAAAAACCGTAGTCATGAAGCTTACTTAACATGATGTTGTGGTTGACGGAATCGAAAGCTTTCTTTATGTCTAAAAAAACTACACGGCTATCCTATTGTTGTTCAAGGCTTTGTTAACTTGTTGGGTTAATACCAAAACTGCAGTAAATGTTGATCTGTGTGCTCGAAAACCATGCTGGTTGGAGCAAATTATATTATGTTTGGATGCAAGTGATGTTATCTGCACTGATAGAATTTTTTTCGGAAATTGTAATAGTTACACTTAGCACAGATATTGGTCTGTAATTTGATGCACTTGATCGGTCTTCATCTTTGTATACAGGGACGACTTTGCCCAACTTAAGCTCATTTGGGTACATACCACAGTCCTGCCAGTGTTGAAACATGTGCAGCAAATGGTCTGCCAGAATGTCTATGTTATTTTTTATTAATTTAACTGTAATAGCGTCAAGCCCAGCCGCTTTATTGGCGTCTAGTTTTTTTACTATTGGCTTGATATGGGACATTTATATCTCAAGTATGGCAAAACTATCAGAAACTCGTCTAATGGGATGCGTGTAGTCTGTAGTGTCACGAAACTGAGCAGCCAAAGCACGCCCAACGTCTGCAAAATACTTGTTAAAGCGATCCACCATGTCTTGAGTTATATTGTCAGGCAGTACACGTTTATCTGAGTCAAGACCAACTGCGGACTTTTCGATTTCCCAAATTCGCTTAGTGTTGCCTCCAGCCTCTTTGATAAGCTTAGCATAGTATTCTTTTTTTCGTTTCCTCATTAGGGTGACTGACTTATTCCCTATAGCATTTGAATTAATTTAAGTAGTAGGCATTGGTTCTCTGCTGCTTCCGCTTGTGATACCAATGGTCTTTTTGTTTCAGTATTTCTAGAATACTAGGTGTCGTCCAAGGGCAGAGTGGCTTGGCGTACTTACTACTATATGTGGTGGTGCTTAGTGACACAGCATTTTTGAGAGAGCATATGAAATTACTGTATTCTATATTTACATCCTCGTCATACATAGCGCAGTAATTGATTTGACTTATTTTGTCTCGTAGTAACTTATAGTCAATCTTTGTAGTTAATTTTCCCTCAGAAGGTTTCGTATTGAGAGGCTCATTTATAAGGGTAACAAAAATAGGCAAGTGATCGGCAATCGGAACAGGAAGCACACCAGCATGCACATCATCGCCAACATTACAGAGGGCGTGATCAATAAGAGTACATGTCGTGTCAGTGACACGCGTTGGCTCATTTATGACATTACACAAGTTAAAGGATTTTAAGAGGAGCGTGTACTCATTCGAGGTATCGGATGACAGGTCAATATTAAAGTCTCCAACAACTACAATATTATTGTAGTGCATGCAGGAAACTCTCATAAGCACAGACTCAAATCCCCTCAGGAACGCTTTGATCGAAGAACCGGGCGGGCGGTATACAACGCCAATAACTGGCCGTCTTTCCATTTTGATAAACAGGGTTTCTATAGTTGCGTTGGTAACAGATGCAACAAGCAAGACATTGCACGCATTATTGTCCCGTATAAACAAGGTTCCTGCTGATTTGTTCCTGCTTCAAGTATTTTTTTTTCCTTTCAAGAGCACCCACACATACTTCCTACGCCGTAAGCGCAACTTTTGTAGCCGAGCCATGGCTCTTGTAGTCCCTAATAAATAGTGGGAGAAACAGCAGATATGTGTAAGCGTTACTTAATTATCTTGGAGTTTCATTCAGTTCGTGCTAATAATAAGTTTTATGTCACGCAATTCAGCCAGCCTGCCTGAGTGTAAGCCTTCGGTGAACGCCCAGCCATTTTGAACTGGTGGCTTCTTTCGTACTTGTGAACATTATCAATGAAAAAGCAAAGAATGCGCATATGTGATGCCCAACATAGATACCTATGACTTGGTGCGTTCCTTTACCGGAAGTTACATAGAAACGTACATATAAAAAAACCTTGTGTTTCTTAGCCTCTGCTAAAAATACGGTGCCATGCACAAAAGAAGCCGGGCAGCAGACACACGTCTTTATGGGATATTTGCAGTAAGGCGCATGTACGTGTTTATTTTTTTATTTGTCATTTCTACCAGTGACGTTTCAAGGGCATAAATTTGGTACCATGCACTTTAGCTTCAATTTTTCAACCAACAGATGTGTGACGTGTCCCTTTCCACACAAATACTCGACCAGTGTGGAAAAACGTTTTAGCGTCAGATTTTTCAAAAAACGGCACCTTGTTGCCTGACGACGTCGACAGCGTCTGGCACGGCTAAGATATCATTCGGCAAAAACGAGAATTTCAATTTTTTTAAGTAATAGCTTTCCAGAATTGTATAAATTTTATATTGACATAGAAACTTGTCCAGCAGACGGATTGCTGTCAACTAACACGATATTATTCAACTAAGGGCCCATAGCAAAAGTATTAATTTTTAAATGTTCTCTACATCGTCAACAGATCACGTGCTCATGTTTTAGAGTGTTGGACAAACATGGGAGCGTGTCTTAGATAATAAGTCACTCATTTCATGAGTGGAGCTAGGACACGGGTACAGACTTACGTAGCAAAAATATTTAAAGTTTTATTTATGTTGCTACAGTGCGCCCCTGCTAATGGCGACAATGATTTCTTTGACATCGTACACGGTAACGCAGGCCTTGCCGTAGAAGCTTTGCTTGAAAAGATGAGTTGGGCAGGATGAAATTTCCGAATTGCTAAGCTATCATGCCAGATGCAATAGACTCACTTGAAGTACGATGTGCATTTTTAGGACAACGGGACAGCAAGATGTTACGCTTTTTGCTATTCAAGTAAGAAGAATGAAATTTGGAAAACAATTTTGCCGGATCATTCTCGGTGCAACGAGAGCAGTGTCGAAGGGATAGAATCAAAACGTGTAAGTTTGCCTTCATTAAACATTTGAACATAGCAACAATAGCTTCACCAGTGGCTGAGATACCCTCAACATCTCCTAAATGCAATCTTCATTGAATATACTAGACCAATATTGCCCTAAATATCTTGCAGAACCTTCTTTGCTCTTACAAGGATAAGATTAATTACACGAGCTAAGTCAGTTTAACGTTCTTTGCATAGCAAAATTAAAAAAAATTATGGGTAGCCTTGGTCTCAATCTCAACCACCTAAATTTCAAATGTGAACCAGCTCTTTTATCTCATTAGTGACTGCCGTGCCGAGGGAAAGTCGAAGATAACTACTTTAAGAAGGTATTTTAAATAACACTTATAATGAGCATAGGCAAAAACACCAGGCATGCTTCGATGCTGATGTTGATACTGATTGTAGTCGTATGATTAAAAATGAATTGCAAGAGTGGCAATCTTGCAAGACGGCGTAAACGAGTTGTCATTCTTTACTTCGAACCAAAATGCATTGCTCATGGCGCATCCAGTAAGGACGAGTGCACAAAAGTTTTCGTGACTGTGTATTTGCAGCTGTGAAATAATAAATCTAACCCTCTGAAATATTGTTTGCTAGGTATGCTGCCGGAAATTGGGAAGCCGGCTCACGTGCCAATGATCAATTTGTTTGAAACGTAAGCTCGTAAACCACTAAACATTTCATGCTTGAAGATTTTTGAATGTACGGTCTTCAAGCTTCACTTGAAGCAGAGAAGAAATATGAATACAGGTTTTATTGTTCTTTGGCCGCATATAATTCTTTCTAACGGCTACTCGAATCACGCCATGTATCTAATATTCAATTCTCTATTAGGTTTCCGTGTCTAACGACATCATGCTGAACGCAATTACAGAGTGGTGAAGTTGCTTACAAGTCGTATAATGTATTTTCACACTTAGACAAGTTAAGGAGTAGTTTTTTTTTACTTCTACTACCACAAAGGCTTAATCAAAGTCATTGACGTTTGTGGTTGGGTTGGACAAGTGCGTCAACGCTTCAACATAGATTCATCAACGTCGATATCACTAGAGCTGCCAAACACCAATTACACTGTTTAGACTCACGTATACTGGCGTACTATAGAAAATCAACCACTTTTGCAAATGCACGGTTTACTCTCTGTTTCACCCATTCCTACGATGGAGGGATCAACAATGTTTTTTTTCCAGTTCACCATTGCGTTTTAAAAAGTAGCATTTATTTGCGTACTGCAAGCACTTTTGCTATCTATCTATCTATCTATCTATCTATCTATCTATCTATCTATCTATCTATCTATCTATCTATCTATCTATCTATCTATCTATCTACCAACGATTGGGTGCTCTCATATTGGCACACCACCCCGCCACGGTGGTCTAGTGGCTAAGGTACTCGGCTGCTGACCCACAGGTCGCGGGATCGAATCCCTGTGGCGGCGGCGGCTGCATTTTCGATGGAGGTGGAAATGTTGTAGGCCCGTGTGCTCAGATTTAGGTGCACGTTAAAGAACACCAGGTGGTCAAAATTTCTGGAGCCTTCCACTACGGCGTCTCTTATATTCATATGGTTGTTTTGGGGCATTAAACCTAACATATCAATATCAATAAGCTTGGCGTACACCACAATTAGTGTGGCAGAGTGAGGTGGTTTGATGAATACGGCGCGCTGGTCATGACATCTTACTAAAAAACAGTGGCTCATACCAGGGGGTGGGTATGTGCCACTGGTATATGGGTATGTGCCACAGGTGATAGATGTATATATGTACCTATAGGTACGACGAGAACACACAAGGATTGTTTTAGCGCTTGCGCGTTAAAAAAAAAGGCGACATAAGCAGCGTTGCTGGATGGATTCAAAGAACAAATGTAAGTGTCCCAGCAAGAATTAAACCCTACCATTTTGCGTGGCATTCAAATATTCTACCACGGAGCCGCGCAGGTCTCAGAAACACTTTTCAAAGACAGCCTAACGTTCATGAAACGTCAGATCTAGTTATAGTGCTGGCTAATAAATTTATTTACCATTACATTTGCACTACTATAATAGAGCCGTCATGTCGAGTTAACGACAACTGTAGTTACGCGCCATCTGCTAGCGTTGACTTATGTAGCAGTGTCAAGGGCTACTACCTGCACAAACGCCAACGCTTCATATCAGCTTACCACTTTTGGTGTTGCTGTTGGCATCGTTACGCAACTACAAACAACTCGTAATAAAAATTATGCAGCTGCTTAACGTATGTGTATACGTCTATTTCTATATATCGTGAGCGCCGTTTCATATTTTTTCACTAAATAAAAAAAGTAAAAAACGCATTCACCTCACATCTGCATTCTTCGCATGAAATTGAATCCTTAGCTACGTGGGATCTGCCCCCCCCCCCTTTTTTTTTCAAGTGTCACCTCTGAACTCAGTGAACTCTGTTTCTGTACAAATATAAGTTTATATGAGTGTTCGGATTTCGCTTTAATTCAAAATAGTACACTTGTTTATACTCAATTGATTACACTTTTTTTTACAGAAAGTTTGCGTGAATGGTGATTGCAGAACGATACGGCATCAGTACCCTGTCGAAGTAGTTAAAAGACGGCGTTAATAAAATTTGAACAAAGCTTGCTCTGACCCCGTTGGGTTCCACTTGGGCTCGGTGCGATATAGCACTGGTTAACCGGAGCTTTTTTTTTCTGCGGGAAAACTCTGAAGCGTTATAATTTATTTCATGGTGAAATTGTGATGTAAGTGGTTGGCAATGAGAAAGAAATAAAGATAAGATATTTGCTTTATTCAGGCATACTGTGTAATACTTGTTGTTCATACGAAAAATGAAAACAATGACTCCATAGTAACAGGAGCCGCTGTTGTCAACAGCATGAATCCTCGCATTTAACGTCTGATTATATATTATTCTATTGATGAACGCGCCCGCATTAACAATTTGTTTCAGTCACGTTACATACCAGAACGGTTTAGGACTGTAGTCTAGTTAGCAGACGATAGGGCGAAAGGGGGCACAAGGTAAGCGTAACTGCCGCTGAGAAACTTCAAAAGACGCCGATACGTTCAGAAAATTACCACCCACCAACTTCTCTTGGTGTTTCGTGCCGTCTGAACAAGCAGAAAACATTGCCAGTGGAGAATGAACTTAATCTGATGTGACGCAATGTCCTGTCAGCACTTTGCGTAATTCCGCAGAACTCATATGCAGTTTCATTCACAGAAGAGTGACCGAGGAAAAAAAAAAACGCCAAAAAATGTCTGCCATTTCTACCAGAGCTTTGCTTGCAAGAAATTTCTTTCGGGTGCAAAAAGATGACATGTCATCACCATTAACTCAAATGAAGAGTTATTGAAAGAAATTATGAAGTCTATGGTATGGTGCCTAAAGTTTCACCAAACATATGATAAAATGATACATGGTACTGGCAGGCCAAAGAGGCCACCCGCATCTTCCCAGCGGGGAAACTCGAATAAATGCGTCGCAGAGTAGTGATGGTATCACGTGAATGTTGCGTAACTGGGCATGAATAAATGTTATTTTGTCTTTATTATCGCCATTTATTGAATGAAGTAGAAGCGTTGACTTCAACGTCAACTGAAAGCCAAGTAAGTTCCCCTTTTATTGAATTCCTGACGCGCGATCTTCTGCCTACATATACGCAAGGTCTCTAGATAAAACAAGCTTCATCTAGGGACCTTACATATACGGGGTGGCCAGTGAATGGTTGTGCGGCGCGAGCAGTCATTTTTTTTTTTACTAGCATACGCTGTCTGCGTCGACCTAGCGAGGCGAGAGAGGCGGAGGAGAATGTTTTTCCATGTCTTCCTTGGCTGGCACGAGACGCCATGTTGCACAATAAGTGGATGGCACCACCACTGACACCGAAGCCTGACATCGTGCGACTAAGGAAGGATCCTTATTTGAAAGATTGTGCCACGCTCGCCGCAAAGGCAACACGCAGCGCTAACTGATATTCCCCCGTTTAAATGCACGTATATTCCATATAAAGCGAACGGGGGGATGACGCCCCCGTAGCTGAATTGCAGAGAATCGAACAAGAATCCTTCCGGTGGCAATTTATGTTGTTGTTGGCTGTCCTTTATTCACATTTTTATCATAATTCTTTATAATAAAGTAACCTATACTTAGCAGAGTCCCCTGTACATCTCCATTGTCTGTTAGCTCCAATTATAGTTTCGTTTAACAAATAATACAAGCCCTTAACACGCGCTTCAAGGTTGTAATACGAACAAACGTAGCTGTTTTGTAATAAAGCATGTGTTGCTATGTGTATGCGTATTGTGCAGTCAAACCTTCCAGATATCTAAACACACCCGCTTGGTTTGCATATTTTCGTGGTTAGATAACATTTGACTTAGCATTTAGGAGTACTGCGAAAATCATATTAGGTCCTTCAGTATTGACACAAGAGATAAGCTGGGCTGAGAGAGAAAGCTGAGAAGCAGCTCGACCAGCTCCGGTCCCACAAAAGTAGACTTTCGTTATTATTGAGCCGTGTACATATATATAAATAGCAAGTGATAAAAACTGAAATAATGAAGAAGCAAGACGAAGCGTCAGCTTAAATAAAATAACAATCAGTAAGAAGTTTGTAGACGTTCACGAGTGTCTATAAACTACCAGCAAAAGTTCCTGATGGCCCTGCTATCGCTCACCAGACATTTCCTTTTTTGTTTATTTATCGAATTCTTCTGCCTCCTATCTATCATTTCCGCTTTTACCCACTAAATGTGTAGGGTAGCCAACATAACCTCGCTCGGTAAGCCACTCTGCTTTTCCCATTCGTCTTTCCCTCTCTCAAAGATGGGGAGTGGAGAAAGTGACGACATGAGCATGCAAGTAGTTCAACACAGAGTCTCCAACTGGTTGTTGGTGCACACCGCTGCTGTTGCACGGAATTCTTTTGGAAAGTAAGGTGATAAGTGTCCACTTATAACCAATTTTATCTGCACTAAACGGGTTTGACGATATCTCAAACTTAGCGCCGCATACGCATGTCCTTGATTCGTAGCCGCTTGTACTATCCATGGGCGCGCTCATTTTATTTGAAGAGTGGTCTGGGGCGGAATGGAGGATGCAATTTCTGGTGACTGTTACATCTAACCCGTACACTTAACAAAATATACGTGGTTTGAGCTCTATGAAACAAAGTACACCTACTATACGTCATATGCGGTCTATGCTTGCTTCGGTTCATTATCGTATTTACATTGTAACCTAAAGGTTTGAGTACGCTTCTATTCCACAGGGCAAGATGTATAGTCCACTACACTAACCTTTTATGGGCTAAAAACCATGAAATGAGAGTGATAGTGATTTGTCATCGTTTATTCTAGCAGGGCTTCATGACGTCGTCACTCACATTTCGTTTTTCTGAAGAACCTTGCTACGAATGTCGTAAACACAGTTTATTCTCGCATAACCTTCACGAAATGCAGGGCAGACATCGTGGCGATGCTGTTTCACATGTATCGACACTTGCCCCTCACTTCTTTCTCTGTCACATCTCGTTCACCAAATGGAAGAAAGAAGCCGCTGTTCAGCCCTTTTGGAATTGCCCACATTACGCATAGGCTATATGGAGCCATGTTTAAGAAAGGAAAATCTGCATCGCTTATGATATGAACTATTGCTATACTTTCACCCGAGACGATGCTCTGGTAACTAAGGCACTCGGCCGCTGGCCCGCAGGTCGCGCGATTGAATCCTGGTGGCGGCAGATAGATTTTCGATGGAGGCGAAAATACTTGAGGCCCATGTACTAATATTTAGGTACACGTTAAAAAACCCCAGGTGGTCCAATATCCGGAGCCCTGAACTACGGCATCTCTCATTATCATATGGCCGGTTCCCTAGTGGCTGGTTCCAGATATTTTGATCAAATGGGGCTCATTAACGTGCACATAATTGTAAGCTCACGGGCCTCATTGATCTTAGCCTTTATTGGAACACCGCTGTCAGGAGCAGTCAAGCTCCTTGCAAAAACACTGGACTGCCCAGGCAGGTGTGTAAGCAAAACTTCTTTCGAGGAGGCAGGGGGGGGGGGGGGGGTGGAGGCACCTTTTTAAATTCGAGAGGAGAGCTCCTTCAAAAAGTAATTTTTTGCTCTTTATAATACGTAGAAAAAATTTGAGGGGGAGGGGCTCCAAGGGGTGCCACCAACTGGCCCCCCATTGCCTTCGTCACTGCACCGAGACATGTGCAATTCAGAGACACAGCAACGAGCTTTTTTTAGAAACATTCTACTTTATAAGCCAATTTTACTTCTGCTATTCTAGAGTGTCTCGTAGGGTAACATAATAAATGATATCTTTACCATGAGACCAAAGTGATGTTTGCGATAGCAAGAAGCTGTAATGTCATGTTAAGTAAGGCTAACAACGACCTGTTTTTGGATCCAATCTCGTGTAATGCTATAAATACAAAGCACTGCTGTAAAAGAACACGGTCTCTCCTGGCAGAGAAACACGTTTCGAACAGTTTCTTCACCTTGAAAGTAGAGCACATGGAAGGATATACGAGTCATCTGGGATGTCTGCTGAGCTTGCTTAACCTTAAAATCAACATTGAAATTTTCTACTTGCTCCTTGAAAATGGGTGGGGAGTCCCCGTTGTAGTTCAGTGGCAGCAGATGGCGAACCGAGCACGCGGAACGATGTTATCGGATGCGCCGAGAGTGTAGCGGAGATTGATAGGCTGTTCTTCTCTCTACTTTGACCGCATTATTCATCCTAGCTCACGCCTTTAAGAGTGGTGGAATTCTACGATTCGAGATAGCATGTGACAAATTTCTTTATAAGGAACACCTCTGGTACACAAGTGGTAACGCCGAAACCCATCGAGATTGTCTATAATTGTTATGGCAATGAATATTATCGACACGTATTGTCTTTACGCCTTTCATGCTCATCGAGTCCAGTGGACAGCATGTATTTATAGGCGTGTGTACTTCGTTAACACCAGAAGCTATACAGATTTCAATTTGTCATTGTAATATGAGACTAGGTGGGCTGAAGTAAGCAAAGCAGGTTTTATTCTTAACGTATGCAACAAAAAGTGGGTCGAAAGCTAATCTTTATCTTCATAGCTGCCCCTCAACCCATGGATACTGGTTGCGAAGCAGTCGCTTGAAGCACCTGCACTACTGAACCACGCAAAGAAAAAGAAACTAGAGAGAACTACCCCAAGTTGTGACTTTCCAACAAAAGCTGTAATGGGACCGTTGCAATAGCAGAACTTGGTGGCCTAAATGTCCGCCGCTGCTGCTACTGCTGCTGCCACTGTTTACAGTCATTATTGATTTCAAAAAGTCAATAAATGTTAGACATTGAACAGAATTCGAACGCAGCCCACTGTGTGGGAATATAGTGTTGTACGATTGGCCCACGCCGATGATAGTAAACTGTTTCCCGAAAGAGCCAATACAGGCGAAATTTTGGGCAAGTAATCACAAATCACGTTAAAGGGTAGGTTATATTATGGGAGAAAAAAAAGCAATAAAAACCAGGTGTACGTTGTCTCGTCAAAACTTCCTAAAGCAAACAAGGTCAAGCACATTGAGATCCGTTATTAGGCATCACTACGGGTATCGATTAATGTAAATAAGTTTTATTCAGAAAGATTGATGAGAAATCATAAACTGATAATAAATACGATCGATCTAATTCTAGTGTCCCATACACCACTGTCACGTCTGTGTGGCTTTTGTATTTCTCATTGCTTTATTATTTGAAATAATAAACGTAGGTAGCCCAACTCTCTAATGAATTGACCAAGCCTCACTCAGACATCGATCAAGTAGTAAATCGAAATCTCAGTGAGCCAGATTGAAAAAAATCTAATGAGTTCGAATGGGACTCAGTGTCGTTGCTAAATCTGTAAACAGTCAGAGTGATGTGGATTGAAGGAAGCCTTGATGGGTCTGAGGCTGATAGATTCAGAAGAGCAGAACGTATTTTTTGGGTGAACCTTAGTGAGCTCTAATATTTCCTGTCTTCTGATGTGAATCGCTACCATTGCCAGAAGTTTCGTTAACTATTTTCTTTATCCACTTCTTCTTTCATTCCTTCAATCATTTATTTATTCATACTTTCACTGCTATACGACACCATTCTCCCGCATGAAATCTTACAAAGGCATGCTCTTCTAGGACTTTTCCTCGCGCCCTAATAGCAAGCGATTTCAATGTAACCATTGTGGACCTTCGGGCCTAGTGTGGCCTGCTCATCATTATTCACTTAGTCGAAATGCGTGGATTTCTTTGTCGTATAATGCGTTTAGTTTACCATGTGTCCAACAGTCATATCACACAAGGCATCTGTAGGAAATCTGACTTCACTGCACGCTGCGCCAATAGACGCTACAGACGGGCTTTCTACAGCATCTTCTTCGTCATTAGTGATCTATTTACCGCAATCGTCGCCCTTGAAACGGTGCTCCCGGTTATTCGTATCTATCCAGCGCACACACACACACACACACTAAGTTAGATAGATAGATAGATAGATAGATAGATAGATAGATAGATAGATAGATAGATAGATAGATAGATAGATAGATAGATAGATAGATAGATAGATAGATAGATAGATAGATAGATAGATAGATAGATAGATAGATAGATATTGCTACATGCATGTTGACATTTCATGGGACGATGAGTGGGTGTGCCTGACAAAGAGGAGGAAGAGGAGGAGAGCATCGAACGCGTAATTCGAAGGTCGTAGGTTCGATTCCTGCTCACAGTTGGTAATTTTTTCATCCACTTTTCTTTCTTCTTATTTACATTCCATTGATTTTAATAACTTCCCCTGTACATTCCTTGGCATTACTGTCTGTTATATCTCAATAATATTGTGTTAAAAACACGGAAAAACGAGCCCTTAGGTATACACTTCTTTCCGTTATATATATATATATATATATATATATATATATATATATATATGGCCCTTCACAACTCGCAACGACATGAAGCCGGTAAGATCGCCGTTGCTGCTCTAGGGGTGGCCACGGCACATCCGCAAACAAGCGGCACAGGCCGCCGAACATCGTGATATTTCCGGCAGGCACACTAAGGTTACCGATTACGGTGAAGTGAATAGCAGGCGCATATAACATTTGTGGGCTGAGTGTCGCTTCGAGCCCTTTTTCGGTTGAATTACAGAGCAACGAAGTGACATTTTGATAACCAGAACTGTCATTTACGGCAGTCCGAAAAGACGAGCGAGTGTCTTCAGCCTCGGAAGTTCGAGGTCTGACGTACACTGTAAAACAACGTGACTTCTCAGAAATACCCACAATATCGCCATGGTTTGACTGTTTGTCACTCATCGATGTAAAAGAATTACAGTAATTCTTTTAATCATACATGTGTTACGCCCAGATGTTGTCTTATATGAACAAAAGTTTTGGCAACTCTTTAGAAAAAAAGCTATCTGAGTGCCTCGAATGCTTAGTTGACATTTTCTTCGAAGCCATGCAGCCTCGTATTATTATATCAGCTATGTTGCCTGTCAACATATCAATTGTTTTGGCTGTTGGATTATTTGGAGCAACGTGTATCAGATGCAATCCAAGTAAGGTCTTCAAACACAATTTTTTTCTCGAGAATTTATCACTGTGTGTCTTTATGCCTACGAATACAGCGTTCTTTTTTTTCTATTGATTCTTCGAACAATTAAGAAAAATATTAGAAGTTTGAACAGAAGACTGCTGAAAATGGAAAGCAGCTGTAACCCTGAAGGCTGAGGTTATGAGATGAGACGCACGTTCAGTGCGTGTTGGTTTATTACCAACGTAGGCTCTTAAAAAAGTCATATAATGTGATGTAGTTGCTTCTAGAAAGAGATAACCAATGTCAATTATCATAACGCTGAAAGTTCTTTTGTTGGAACCTCGATAATTCTGAAAATCAGATACCTTGACCTGTTCTCTGGCCCCAGCCAGCATATGCACTGCCTAATGAAATGAAGCACTCGTCGACTCGGTCCAAATTGTCCGCCATGCGGTCTATTGGGATGGTCACTGAAGTTTGCCAAGCGCAACGCATCGCGCGATGCAAAAGAGGAGAAAGGGCACTTACAGATAACCTACACGAGAAGGCGCTGTACAGGGAGCCAACGTACCCCGTTGGGTGAATGTCATGCATAGGTTTCACTTGCAGGTGTATGACCTCAGGTGCTTTAAAATAATCACGTCACATGGCACCTTGTTTCGCCCTACTAAACGCAGGATGGACGTTCGTGCGTTTTGACATTTACTAGATTACGACTTGCAGATGTCATTGCGGAGATGAACGCTTATTTTTTCTTTTCAACGTCAGATTTATTTTCCAAATAGATATGTTGAGAACTTGTGAAGGGAGTGCCTTCATTTTCCCAAGCTACACTCTTGATCAGGTTCGGCCTAAAGAGCTAGATATAACCAGGACACCAGGAATATTTCGTCTGGTTTCCTGGATATAGCCACGATTTAGCAATGATCTGCGTAAGAGTGTACAAAAAGCTTGAGGGGACATTAACTACTGTTGCGCAGGGAGCATAGTCTTGTCTTGAATAGATAATGTCGTGTTGTTTTGGTCTGACTGCACTCCGTCTTCCGAAACGACGTCACCAACGACTTTTATGCATTTGCTGCCCAATATGCATTTTATTTGTATTCATGTGAAGGCAAGCATTAGAAAGGCAGAAAGTGTCCTGTCTAATCGTTTAGGGTGTTGTTTCAACGGTAGATGAAAACACAGCGACACATCTAAATAACAGAGTCAGCTCTTTCATTTTCAGCCTCGACAACAGTATCAATCGTGCGTGAAGGGAGCATTGCCCAGGAAACATGGCAATAAGTTAACTTCGTGAAGCCCGCTCGGTATACCAAAGGCGTTTTTTATTGTCAGCCTCGTCTATAATTATTTCCCATTATTCCCATTGCTTGTCAAGGCTGAAAAAAACATTTTGCCCCTTCAAATGCGTTCACAGCTACATGTGCTCGAGGCATACACCACACGTCCTTGCGCGCTATAAGATTTTTTTATCCGAAATAAATATAAATATGAATGAACCCATCCTTCTCTTTGCAAAGACAACCTGAGAAGCCCAGGAACTGGATAAGTGTTATATGGTATTTCGTGAATATATTCGTAATTGTTCTTCAATAAGTGTACTTTACGACTGAGAAACACAACATGACTGATGAAGCATGAACCATAACCGTAAGTTTCAATTCGGTATACGCCCATAGGAGGCTTGCTAATTGTCAAGGCAGAGCTATTGAAGCAGATCTTGTGCTCATCTGAAAGCGCCGATAGAGCTTGCGACTGGCAAATGCAAGATTAGAACCAATTGGTGCTCGGAAAGAGGAAGATGAACCATGAGCTTGTGCTGGCGACGAAGATGAGCGAAATGCTCCAATGGGGTTAGCCCCATTGATGAAGATGATGATAGATGATGAAGCATCTATCATCACCTCAGTTACCTCCTTGGGTGACAGCATAAATTCTGCAGGGGCATTATAAACGGGTAGAAGGGAGCGGCCGGAGGACAACCAGAGTATGTAAGAGGCGAGGAGAATTTCTCGCGAAATGCTGTGATGAGAGGAGAAAAGTGCGCATCGCCATCAGCTACTTAGTTAGTTGCTACAGATACCACGTGTTCGTGACCATGTCCTAAGAAAGAGCCAAGATCAAGATCGAAGGGCGATGGAGCTGACATAGGGGCATCCGACGTAATCGTGATGTGAACGACGTACTATTAGATGCGAAACAGCACCTGTGTAACACCGTACGTACGTCCTGTCCTACGAGCGCACCGCAACGCGTTTCCCTCACCGCAGGTGTTGGAGCGGTGCTAAGTAGGTCAGCCGCATCTGTGTGTTGACATCACGCTCCCCTCGCACGCTTGCTTTGCAGGTGCGCGCTGTCGTTGCTCTCTCCCTCACCGGCAGCCCGCTTGCCGCAGCACCCGCAGCTGCCGGCTCCTCCATCCGCTTACGACAACTTTTCCCTCGCTTCACTCTCTTCACCACCAGCTATGCTCAACTGCACGTCAAGTGGGCAGACTCATCCAGGTCGTTTATCTACGATATATTTACACAAAACCCAACCTGTCTCCCGTGTCTCTGCATTTCAAACAAACGTTCACTCAAATAACAGCTACACCAAGTTTCGCTTTCCAGCACCCACGTCGACGCCCGTTTCAAGAAAGTCAACACCGTGCACACCGCTGCTCGCATTCCATCAGGGTTCCCTTCGAAGAGATGGTTCGTAGTTTTACATGAAATGACAGCGGAGGCAAAATGTTGGAAATTGTGACCCAGGATAAATTTGTGAACTCACGTTGGTGACGCAGCCATCTCGGCGTGATGGCGTGTGTCATCGATGAAATCATTAGCCATGAACTTCCCGTCAGGCTGAATGAGCGCGTTATACGTGCCGTGCAACGCAGGTCCTAGATGTGATGTTCTGACTTTACGAATCTGCGAACACAAGTTGCAACGTCCAACATAATTGGCGAAACCGCTGTGAGCAATCGTTTGCACAAAGTCACCTTCAGAAGTCACGAACGCGTTGACCTGGTGAAAAGAAGGTATTTTTAATAATTTACAGGGCAGTTTTTTTTCTGCAAAAAAACGCAGTATTTAGTTTTACGAATTAAAGTTGATTGACAAGTTGGTAGAGGAGGCGAAGTGGTGGTGCATAACTGTGGCATGGTCAAAGAGAAAGTTGTCTAAAGGAACGGCCAATCTCTCGTCGTGTGGTGGGTTCACTGGAGGAGCTGGAGGCCACTTTTTCATAACGGTTGGGAATATGGGTCTTGAATACCACGTAATCAACTCCGGTGTCGTCCGTATTCAGCTTGTACTAGTCATTTATTTTGCTGGCGGCGGTGGCGGCAACCAAATATACAGCCATGAATACCGCAGTCGAAACAAACGGGATGGGATCAATGCCCCATCTGGAAGGTGCTGCAGATACTCCACCGCACGCAGAAGAGAAAATCGCTACGCAATGTCACTATATAGGCCCAGGGAAGACGCAATCAGGCGGGATTACAGCAATACGCCCGTATGTTGGCATCACAAATATTGTTTGAGCAGCCGATGCTGTCGTTATTGCCCTAGATGCCATGTGATCGTATATGTGTATCGGACATGCTGTTTTAGCAACAAGTGCTGTCTGTGTAGTCATTGCAGCCAAGTGCTGTTTCGTAAGGTTGCTCCGGTCTAAATGTTGTAATGGAGTGGAGGTGGTAGCGGATCGCCTATTTTCACGCTGCTAAACTTTGCGAGTGATGTTGCGCACAACGGCTCTCAAATAAGAGGTGTTGAGAAATGAACCTAAGTAGATAAGGGTGGTGTTGAGGGCGAAAGGACAGCAACTGCTTTACTTACTTGCATGAGGAAGTAATGTCTAATAAAGCACTGCAATGATGGTGCTTCTAGGTGCACAAGCGGGTATGTAATGTTCTTATTTTTGCCATTCGCGGGTATCTATCATAAACTCAGAAGCGTTAATAATTAAAAATGACTCAAAGGCAAACTAGTTAACTTTTGTGGCCGTTGTATATTTTCCCGCTCCCAGTTCACTCAGTGCTAACAACGAACAAAGTTCGAAACTGTTATGAGGCATTTTGCAAACAGTTCTACAATTTTTTATGTAATTTCAGTCTACTTCCTTCTCTTCAAAGGTATGGCTAATGAGATTGCTTTGTTTAACATCCAAATTGAAAAAAATGTGTTTAAGTTAAGATGGTAGTAAACAACGTGCATTTGGTAACTTCATCATCATTAGCTCTGGCATAATTTTCACCCTTGTCTCGATACAGCTGGGCTACCCTGTATGCATGTCCAATTAGGTGGCACAGAATTGTTCTGATTGAAGAAGAACCAAGGTACAACAACAAAGTCACTATATAGCAACATATTAAAAAATGCTTTCGTGGTAGACAACACAGACAAGAATAAAATGGTAAACTGTGGGACAATGGGCATTAACTGCCTCTACCTCTGGCAGCTGTCATACAAATTTGATGCTATTTCTGATGTAAAGTTGAGACGCAGAGGTCCTACTCACAAACAACACTTTTTTTGCATTTCGTGTAGTGCCAAAGACTGTAGGCATTGTCTATCCATGTCTCGTCGAAAGCCGCAACGATGGCGGTGAAAAGGTGATCAAAATATCTGAAAGCATCACGTTAAATTTGAAGAAGAGTTCGGTAGTAAGCAAGAAGTTTCTGCTAAGAACTTACCAGGATGACATTATGGAACACAACTACGTGAGTATAAAACAGAGATGTCGATTACTTCAGATAGTTGTGCTACCTCATACAACCGGGTTCAAACTAGTTTACGAAGTTTTCAAATGGCATCAGACTTCAGAGATATTGTTGTTGCCCTATTTTTTAGCTGTATGTAAAGGAAATGAACAGTGGATGATTCACTAAAAAAAAAAGATTACATATTTACTTGTGTCGTCTATGTTCGCAGGCTGTTCATTTTTTATGTTTTCCTCACAGTCTCGACAAAGTTTTTTTTGGCAGCTGTTATACTGCAAATCAAATAATATATTCGTCTTCTCAAGGCGCGTTCAGGAGCCAGGATATAAAAGGAAACGTGAAAAATTGTCACTCGCTCTTTATTTGGGGCATGAATGCAGGGAAGTGTAACCTCTCAGTTCCTCTCAACACAAGAAACAACGCATTCATCAATACGATCGTTTTTCCCAAAAAATATATTACTTGGGGTTTCAACGAAAGCATATTGATAAGCTTTGGAAATATACCTCAGGAATAGTACAGCACAAATGAGTCTTTTCGTTAAACTTCGTTGTAATTTTTCTACGTTTTTACAAGAATTCACATCCAGGAACATTTTGTTTCTTATGGTGTATTTTCTTTTAATGAGCAAGAAAAATTTTCTTCTCGATATGAATTATTTAGGTGAAATGTTAGGTGGTAGAGAACGGAAAATTTTTGTGAAAAGTGCCGTTTTTATACCTCTTATATAGCAAAGGTGCCGCGAGAATGAAATAAAAAAGAAAACACTTTTTTCGTTTGCTGGAAAGTGGGCTAACAGACACTTCAGCACTTCATATGAGCACCATTATTTAATTCAAGAAACACGAGACAGAACGTCACATCTTCAGAGCAGGGCAAATAGGTAGGAAATCCTGTAGTAAATATGTCACCGCTGTGCTTCTCTCTTCTGCTTAATGCTTGATAATCTACAAGCAGCTTTCGCGTTTCTTTCAGGCAGTGTAAACAAATACAGTACATTGATCGAACCCTGAAAAAATCTTCTTTCCATACAGAATGAATACGTTCACTGCACAGGTTAACATAAATTATATTTGTTTTTTTTTCAGCTCGATGGCGAAATACTCGAGAAAAACCTTTATCACGACGCCGAGTCGTTTGCTTCAGTTATAGTGCTTCACGAGGATGGCCTGAAAGTTGTGAGTGTTTACTGCATTGCACAGAGGAATAAAAGCAGGAGGAAGCCCTATGGGCGTATTTGTGAAAGCCTCAATTTCCGTAAAAAAAAATTAGTAATAATGCATGGAAATAAAGGCGTCGTAATTTCACTTTATGAACCAGAATATATATCACTGTGCGGAACTAAATGTTTTTTTTTTGCAGCAAACATTTTGTAACATTATACATGCAATGACAACGTCTCTCTCCATCAGTGTTGATTCGGAATGCAGTTGTACAACCCTTATAAGCATGCTTCAAGTGGTATACTCGTGGTATATGGTCATGCTTTTGTATACGTTTATTGCGGTAGGGCCTATTAACGTAAAATAAATTCCTCGGCCATTTTCTGCAACTGTTACCATTATTTTTTACTCGTAATGTCAAGATTTATGCAAAAGTCAAAATTCTTGGGTGCATCCTTAATGGAAGAACATCAGCTCATCGCAAGTAACTGAAGACCTTTACTCTATAACGTTTGTGCTTTCCGGGCTGTCCACAAAATTTAGGAATGCCCTTACTGAATACTTTTCCAAGCATCACGCTACGTTCGTACGAAAAAAAAGTGGACAGCAAGCAATATTTTATGTCATTTGAAAGTGATTCTAGTGAATCGGATGGTGTGAAGGGCAGAAGTAGCTCTTATAAAAGTCGTTGTGGTACCTGACAGTCTAGAGGTGCCCTTTTCATGCAACTGCTATGGGGCTTCGGGGAGAAACCTCAAAGCATACAGCCTCAAGCAATCTCAGCTAGGGTATGGTAAATAACATTATTGTACATGTGAGGCTCCCTATAACAAGTCGATGAGGCTGTTTTCTTGTCAAATATTGAAGTTCAAAGTGTCGTCGCGTTAAAAAAAGAAACGACTTCAGTTTTGTTATAGCACGCTAATGAGATCTCAGGCTAGAATATGTGATTATATGTGACACTTCTTAAGATAATCCAGCCTTATCATCCGTTAGCAATTGTATTTATAATTTTGCTGTTCACGAGGACAAAGGTTTGCATTCATAGCGAAAGATAGCGGAACCAACACTAGCATAATAAAATATATTTACCAGTATCTGGAGAACAAAAATAGCGAACATCAAGTAAAATGAAGTTCATATAGGAAAGAGATCCGCGTATATTCGGTAGGCTTGTTAAAAAGTTTCTGAAAGTAGATAAAGGAGGATTATGAGTTACAAACGCACGTAAATGATTCCCACGCATTGGTTTTCTGGGCGATCTTTTAATATTCAGGAAGGTATCGTAAGCTCCATGCTTGGAATAAAGCCGATGACGACAAGAGAAAGGTCAGCAGACGGCAGCATTCCTCACGCCTTTTATGAGCTGCCCCGAGACAAGCCCAATGACAAAGCAACAGGTAAGTGGATAGGGGAAAAAAAAAACTTGTCTTGAAATGCCGCGCCGCATTGGTCTATAGTGGCTAAGGTACTCGGCTGCTGATCATCATGTCGTGGGATGTAATCCAGACTGCGGCGGCTGTAATTTTAATGGAGACGAAAATTCTGTAGGCCTGTGTGCTCAGATTTGGGTGCATGGTACCCAAGGTGGCCAAAATTTCCCGAGCCCTCCTTTACAGCGTTTCTGATAATCATATGGTGGTTCTGGGACGTCAAACCTGACATAATATTTAAACTTGTCTTGAGTGGGATATCAGTTACGCCAATAAAAAAAGACAAAGGAAAGAAAGACGCATAAACAGAAGGCATCACAACTTGAAAAGCAACAATATTAAGCTTTTCTTAGGGTGAGCATCCTCATTGCGGGTAGAAAGAACTTAGAGAACAGTTTAGCTTCGCCTTCGACAGTAGACTGCGACAGCCTAATTAGGCCCCGCGCACATCGCCTTCTCAGTTGTTACCCTGGCTTCAGTTCTCGCTGCATGCCGAAACTGTGTCGTTAGAAAGCGAACAAATGTGGGCGTAACATTCACCGTTTCAAACTATTCTAGCCTGCTTTTGGCACGTACAATTGCTGAGTGCCCACTGCGCAACAAAGGTACTATTTTTGTGAAATTTTCGAAGGGATTTCTCGGTGTCAATGAGGCAACAAAGGAACCTACGCAAGTGCTCACTTTGTTGAAGCTTTTGCAGCTGATGACAATTAAATATATGTGAGCGCTTTGTAATGGGTGGGTGTTTGAAGCAGCCACTCGTTGCACTATTCGCAATTTTTAGGCCTGGCGCTATTCTGCGATTCTACCATGCACTATTACATGAAAAATTGACTTGAAATAGAAAATGAAGAGACGAGTGCGGCATCGTAACCTTCTCTCTTAGGGGAGGTTGCCTCAATATTAAATGCGTTAAGTAGACTTCTTTGAAGATATGACATTCATATGGAATTTGTTTTTCAAAGAATAATCAGGAAACAGCGCTACTTTGTGATATAACCCGTGCTTTCCACACAGGCAGCCAAGGTTTGATCCTCGCGCAAACTCAAAATTTCTTTGGTTTAGAATGTTTGCACTTTTCTAGTCTTTTTGATCATGAATAAGATGACAAATTTTCGCTCACAAACAATGACAGCAACACCAAATTTCTTCGAAGCGTACTTTTTACCATTGTCGCTTTAAAAGTGCCAAATATCTGAATGCATTTTTTTTTATTTTTGCAACTGTGGAAGACTTCATGCCAATGATGGCATTCCAGAGGCCAATTTTTCACTCTCAGTCTAGCGTGGCTGAACAGGTGTCGTACACGACACAGTGGTTATCATACAGCAAGTAATTCATATGAATAAACACAGGACAACCTGCGAGATTGCGAACGAAATCTATATTTAATCATATATCTGGACCCGCACAAAGCGTACCAAATTAACATTTGCAGCACAATTTCACGCTGGCATAAATTTGACAAGAATACATTCGCATCCTTGAAAACTCCATAGGCTCTGTCATTTGTTTCAGGACAAAAGACGCTATTCTCCTCAGTCTATTCCAGCTTTTATCCTGAGCAAAAACGTACGTCACTTCTCCTTTTCAACCGTGCAAAAGGAATCTACATTTGTGATAACTTTCATTTTGCTTTTTTGCTTTCTGTTTATTCCTGGTTTTACAGGTCGTCCAAAAAAAGTTTCCATGGAAATTATGGTACTTGTTGACAGTTATTTTCGAAGGCAGTTTGAGGACAAGAATTCAATGTTGACGTACCTTTTGGTAACCATGAATGCAGTGAGTAAAGCTTGCGAGATGTATTTGAACTATTGGAATTTTCGTTTCAGCATTGTATGTACCCCTCTTCGTGCATTTAATGGTGGTGGCCAGAATATTGCAGTTATAGCATAAACCTTCCACGTTTTTTTTTTTGGTATCTAGAGCAAGTATTTACAAGTTTTTTTTCATTCGGAGTGCAGGTAAACTTGAAGTATCTTACAGTATCAGACCCAGAAGTAGAAATTATCCTTCGAGCGGTGGAAGTTTTTAACGTGAGTATTTGAGGTAGATGGCACAAAACATCTGTTTTGTTTTTTTGTTCCACCGAACAATTTTCGAATGGCTCCTTCACTCCTTCATTTCTAGCACCACGTGGAAGATAAATTCTTCGTACGAAATGGAAGCAACTACTTAAGAGATCGGGAGACACTCTTTAAGCTACAGAGATACATAATATATAATTATCATCTGTACTATACCTTCGATGGCTTGTACTATACAACTGGGTGAGCATTCTTATGCCTATTTTTGCTTTATACTGTTGCAGGTGCAAATTGATGCAATGACTTTTCTTTCATGTTAAACAGCCTCGACTTGGGCTATTATTACGTTACTGGCTTCGAAACTGATGTCCAAGGTGAGAACTTTTGGTTTCCTTTTTAAGCGAGCACATGTGCCTCCATTAATTTTCAGTGACAACTTCGGGCAATTTAGCAGTTCGATTCGTAAAGATGGCATGTCTGTTCAGATGCAACGTGGTACTTGGTTAAGGTAAGCTAACAACGAAAGGCTGGTCGGGAAAGTACCTTGAGAAAAGAAATGGAGAAAACTAGAAGTGTGCGGCTAGAGTAAACTTTTTCTTTATATGGAGAAAATTCGCATGAACAAACCCTATGTACCGCATACCACACCACAGCAAGTAACGCGTGTACCTAGACAACTATCATTAAAAAAGATACCTGTAAAGGTGTTCGATCAATAATAATCAACCAACAGCATTTTTTGTCAATACTGCAGCCGTGCTGAAATTGGCAGGTGTGAACGGCTACTAAAAGATCTTTTGTGCCATCTTAACTTTCGCAGTACACAAACATTGCTGATGAGGAGTCTGCCAGTGGTTCTTATATATGAATTGTATCGCTAGGATGCTGCCAGTACCTGTGGGAAATAAATTGGAGAGTCCTCGCATACTAGCCTTCAAGCACCGTGCTGAATAGCCAATGTTGTCATTGCCACAACGAATTAAAATACTACAAGAATTCGGTAGACCCGAAAAAAATCTAGAATATTACTATGTCAAGCCAAAACGTGTGAAAGCCATTTGTGTGAGGCCACAAACGTGTCTGAAATGTGTGTCAAGCCGTTTGTGTGAAATTCTGTATAGCTGAGTCAGTTCAGAACCTTCTTTTTCGCTTGCTTACGTTTTAACGGTCACTCTAAAGCATTATAGATGATTGATATGTGGGAGTTAACGTCCCGAAACTACCATATGATTATGAGAGACGCTGTAGTAGAGAGCTCCGGAAATTTTGACCACCTGGGTTTGTTTAACGTGCACCCAAATCTGAGCACACGGGCGTACAACATTTCTGCCTCCATTGTAACTGCAGCCACTGCAGCCGGTATTCGATCCCGCAACCTGCGGGTCAGCAACCGAGTACCTCAGGCGCTATAACACTGCGACAGGGGCACTTTGAAGCATGTGTGAGCTATTTTTGTCGCTTTGCCACGGATGGTCTAATGCTCTAACTTGCCTGATGGACACATGTAAGGTGAGGTCACACCTGCGCAACCAAGATCACAATTGCACCTTTTCACTATGCATTCTTGGAAATACTGAACGTCGATTTCTTTCAGCAGCACAATTACGCGGGCAAAATAACTTGCAATTGTATAGCATCATTACGTAGATAGTACTATGGCACAAGAGAAACCACAAAAATGGCGCCAGATAATAAACAACGCTGCGCACATGAACGCCGAGTTTCAGTGCCTAATGCCTGTAGGAAGGCCGTTCAATATTTTTACCGTTTATTATAATTTTGTTGTCTTAACACGTCCTTCTTGGACACCCGTCTTTCGGGGTCTATCTTTTTTTTTGTTTTTCTTCCAATCGTTTCTCTTATAGGTTTGGCTTTCATTGGTGGTGTGTGCACCATAGATAAGCTCGCCATGGGCGAAGACAAAGCATACACCTATAGCGGCGTACGAGTAACCGCTCACGAGCTTGGACATCTGTAAGATCAGCGTTTTCTTCCTCTTCATCTCTGCTAAGTCACTGATGATGTGGTCATATAGGTCGCTCATTTAGGAAATCTTGATTTTATAATTTGAACCACAAGATATATATTTATATTTATATATATATATATATATGTATATATATATATATATATATATATATATACGAGATCTAACAGACAGTAATGCCAAGAAATTACTGTCTGTTAGATCTCATTAATATTGTGTTAAAACACGGAAAAACGAGCCCTTAGGTATACACTTCTTTCCCTTATATATATATATATATATATATATATATATATAATCAAATAAATACGAATGTCATGCCTGTCACTTGGGCCATTTATTACGTCTATCGTAATAAACATTAAACTATTATCTACGTTTGTGGGCGGCCTTTAACAAAACGCATAGGAGAGACCCAGACTCTGACTTTGGCTACATGAAAGGCATTAGAAAAACTGAACAGCCAGCACCCACGGCTGGTAATTGTTCCTGCACCCCTTGGTCCTTTTTTGTATGCAATACGGCCTTCGAGTATTCAAAAGTCAAATACCGAAGCCATTATCCTGGCACTTTGAATGAACCAGCCGGAACCTTAACGCGAACACACAGATATCAGAGGAAATTATCTTTACATCGTACAGCGTGAGCCATCCTGGCAATCAGCATAACAGTTCAAACAAGTGTGGTAGTTTGCAGTGAACGCCTTTTAGTACGGAGCAATACATTTTCTACTTTTGATTCAAACAAAGGACGAAATACATTGCTTCAGACTCCACACTATAACTGAAGCATTTGTAACTGCATACTAAAAAGAAGCAATTATTTCTCATACGCTGAAATCATACTTATCAATTTCTATAGCGTCGTTCTAAAGACGAATCTGGCACCATAGACTTGCATGACAGAGTCAAGCAGGTTCGATTTTTGAATGCCAGGGGCAGGCGAGTCAACCCCGCAATGCCAAAGGTTGTTTTGGGGGCGTTAGTTTCGCGGCGCGAGTGATCGCATTTTTCGAGAGACCACGCCATTTCGCGTGGACTGAGACAGCCTGCTGTCAAGAATCGGTCGCATGTTCCGCATACGCAAGCCAAACCTAAAACTCTTGTTCGCACAGGCACAGAAGGGAAAGGTGGTCATACCGACGAGAGCACAGCGTACTGCGGTGTATAGCTTAGCGGGGTGTGCTCACAGGCCGGCAAAAAGAGTGACCTTCAGTCTCTTACTGATTGAATGTAGGGCTCACCGTAGGACGGCGAAGATTGTGGTACACGCTCAGACTCGCCAAACTTTTCCTTAGCCCAACTCACACACAGGAAAATTTTCTACAACCGGACTCACTCGGACGGAAACGTACGTTAATATTACTCACCCGGACTCACTCAGACTCACAGCTCGATCAGAGTCTTAACCATGTATCTTAACCATGTATTTTTTACCCATGTATCCTGTTACCGTTGATGCCGTTGGAGTGCAAAATTTAATTCACAAGCTTAAGTTATCCTCTTCTTGTGGCGTAGATGAAATCAACTCAAAGTTTCTAAAAAACACTGCATTGTATTCATCAATTTACTTGTCCTTAATCTTTTCGCAATCTATTCAGACCTCCACTTTGCCGCTTGACTGGAAGGTGGGGAAGGTGGTCCCTCTGCACAAATTTGGTAACACACAGTCTCCTCTCAATTACAGACCAATTTCTCTAACCAGTGTTTCTTGTAAAATGTTAGAACATATAATTTACTCCAACCTTGTCTCATTCCTAGAATCAAATTCTTTTTTTACTCCCTACCAGCACGGATTCCGAAAAAGTTACTCATGTGAAACCCAACTTCTTTATTTTACTAATGACATAGGATCGGCTTTAGATCGCGGCTCACTTGTGCATTGCATTTTTCTTGACTTTCAAAAAGCTTTCGATAAAGTACCTCACCAATTACTCCTCCTGAAAATTAGTGCCTTAAACATTGACCCGAACATTCTTAAATGGATTGAATGCTTTCTGACTAATCGCACTCAGTTTGTAACAACTAATGGCTATAACTCACCTCTTTCTAAAGTAACATCCGGCGTACCCCAAGGTTCCGTATTAGGCCCTTTACTCTTTCTTATATATATTAATGATCTTCCAGACAGCATTAACTCCGCTATAAGGTTATTTGCAGATGATTGTGTAATTTACCGCGAAATAAACAATGAATATGATAACCAATTTCTACAGTCAGACCTTGACACTGTCTCAACCTGGTGCAATAAATGGCTTATGACTCTCAACTCTAACAAATCTAAATGCATGTCAATAAACCGGCGATCTATTTCTCCCCCCTGTACCTACAGAATTAACGCCGTTCCCCTCCAGCATGTCTCTTCATATAAGTACCTCGGCGTTTACATTACCAACAATCTATCTTGGCACACGCATGTTACCTACATCTGTAATAACGCTAACCGAACGCTAGGATACTTACGCCGCAACTTTTCTCGCGCTCCGCTGTCCCTCAAAGTTCTATTATACCGATCTCTAATTCGCCCAAAGCTTGAGTACGCGTCCGCTATATGGGATCCCGTGCAGCAAAATTTAATTAACGCGTTAGAATCTGTTCAGAACCGCTCAGTTCGGTTCATTTATTCTAATTATTCCCGTACTGCTAGCATATCAGAAATGAAATCTAACCTTGACCTACCCAATTTAACTGTCCGGAGGAAACTGGCGCGACTGCATTTTTTTCATAAGATATTTTTTCACAATCCATCAATGAAGCGAGACCTCATTTCACAACCGTCATACCACTCATCGCGCATTGATCATCAGCATAAGGTTGCCATTCCGTTTTGCCGCACCAAATTCTTTTCAGCAGCCTTCTTACCGAAAACAGCCGCTGATTGGAACCACCTTCCCTCTTCCGTTGTATCAATAACAGACCCTTTGTTATTCAAGACTGCAATTTCTCAGCAATGCTTGTAACTATACGCAGTTTCCATTATCTATCTTTGTCTTGTATGTGCTTGAATTCTTATACATTTTTAGTTGACTTATGTTGCCTTCCTGATTTGCGCATCTGATACTTGTTTCTTTATTTTGTCTTTTTTCTTGTGTGTCATATATGTTGTACCCACCCCCTCTGTAATGCCCTACGGGCCCTGAGGGTATTCTAATAAATAAATAAATAAACTAGCCCAATCTAATCAACTCATGAGTGAGTTCACTGATCTGTGCAATATGTGCCCATGAAAACATGAAACAAATTGCCGTAGTCCTTGTCCACATCGTAACGCTCGCCTCGAAGTAAAAACTCGGTGTGTCGGTTTCTAGTTGCGGCCTGGTTCCTATTAGGTCAATTTCCACTAAGTGTGACACCTGCTAGATTTCTTTTCTGACTATACTATACATTTCTACCTTAATCGGTAGTTTAACCATAATAACCAAATATCTCTGTCCCAGTCTTTTTCATGCACTGTATCTTACGTTTCTATAAGTGAATTCGAACATGAATCAAGCTTGTATTTCCATTTTTCTGTGAAAAGCCTGCCTATAGTAACATTTATCATAGCATGCCAAAAAAAAAAAAAAGTGGCCGCTGATAGCTCAGGGGTTAGAGCATTGGACGCAATATTCAATAGCATGCCAAAGAGTATTACTTACCTTCAACTTCTTTTAGCTCATATCTACTACGCTAATTTTACTGAAGTGGCTAAAGACACAGCTTTTTGAAAGATGTTATAATTAAATTTATTTTGAGAAGGACACAAGTTTATGCGAGTTTGTACAAATTCACAGTGGTTCATATGAATGACATGTTATTGTGCACTTCATTTCACTGCTAGGCTCGGCTGTCCCCATGATGGAGAACAATACAGGTTCTTCTCATCGAAGAATTGTTCGAACAGCGATGGCTACATCATGACTTACTGGTCGAACAGCAGCAGGAGCATGAAATTCTCTGAATGTTGCAACCGGGCCATATCAGAACTTGCACGGTGAGTGTGAAGTGAAAATATTACGAAGAAATTTTCGAGTGTCTTCAGAGATCTGCAAATGTATATAACAATCTTTGTATTCCTCGTACACCTGTCAAGTTAGGCAAGAAGGAATGCATTCAACCTTGATGGTTTGCGAGAACTGGCTTACATTAAGCGTGTTTCTTAGGTAAATAGAGCGTATGTGCAAATAAGTTCCGCTTCTGTGAAGACGCTATCCCTTACGTGTCAATGCTGATTCCTTTTCCTATCAGACATTGTTTCAAGGGGAATCGCCTTAAGATCTCGGCTTGTGCGCATGCTTCTTATCTGGAAATTTCTGTTGCTGGCTGCTGCTGGTGGTGTCGTGATGGGGCTGCTATCAGAGTGCAAAAAAAGGTGACACCACCTCAATGCTCGACGCGTGGCCTGAGACAGCGAATGGGGGGCAGCTTGACTCCGGAGTAGCTTGCTGTCTGCCCATACATTGAGTCACCGCATGCCGCGCTCTGCCTTTCGGTGTTGCAGCTAGTTCGCGTTGCTGCTTTGGCTTTCATAGACGAGAGAGCTTTCACGATCCTTTACATCCATGGTGGAAAATTTTGTCGTCTTGAACGCTTCCATTCTTCATTGTCGTCGGTGTCACCATCATCGTCATTGTACATAGGGGTACTTTGCATGTGTTTGGCCGTACTCACAGCGTAATCAGCACCGGGTACCTTGTCTGTGCTAGCACGCATATTCTTCATTGTTGTGGTGAGTGCATATAGTGGGTACCTTGCTTGTGCTGTGCCGGACAACACACAATGAACAAGCATAATCCGTAGGGTACTCACCCTAAAGAAACCGATTCCCCGTGCTGAGGAACCGTTCACCGGCCACCCCGTATATATAGGCACTGGATCTTGACCCTAAGTGTAGTTACTGTTAGAGATTTTTTGTGCTTATTAGTACAACACGTATTCGCAGCGTGCACGTTACCTAAACGGACGGCGGCTCTGTCTGTCTAAGCAGAGCTAACTGGGTCCTCCGTTTGGATTCATGAACATCAGGTGCTTCACCCCTCCCCAGACTTCATGCTTGTGAAGCTGAAACACACTTGCCTACAAGCCCGTACACCCAAATATTTCTTTTAAGTATATCTTAGCGCTTTATGTGCAATGATTATAAGAAACAGCGTTTTTTGTTTCTTTTCAGTGAGTATTATTTGTTGACAAGTACTGGAAATGCGACATTTACAATCGTTCCTACTCAGGTCACCGTTTGGAGACTGCCTAGAAACCAAAAACGCAACTCGACGAATAAACAAGAATCTTGACACTAAAGCTCTTCCTGGGGAAATGTTAACAAGGGATCAAGTGTGCCAGCATGCCTTTCCCAACGTTCGAGACATTCGATTTGTAACAGTAAGTTTTGAATGCATTAATATACTGCCGAATGTATATCTATATTGTATACGAAGGAAACATGTACGTGCTGATTTCCCTCCCGAGGAAATGCAGGGGCATAATCACGCAGTTGTTTGTTCTGTAATGGGACGACGAAAAAGCGAAAGCCGTTTTTTAGTCATTTTTCCAGTAGATTGCTGTGATTTTTTGAAATCAGGATGTCGTTACAATTCCTATAATTTTTTGTGTACCTTCCGAACACAACAATGCATTCATCAATGAACCTCCTCATTAATCTGGTTTTGTGAGGTGTACCATTTTTGTTGACAACGTCACCACTAAACATTTCTCTGGCTTGTTCGTTCATATTAAGCACCTTTTGTTTCTCCTCTTGATTTCATAGAGGCAGTTATTTTTTAACGCCTGTTTGACAAAGCTGTTCGCACTTTACTGTTATTGTAGTGGTTGGGCAGGTTCTACTTTTGGACGTTCTTCTAAGGCAAAAAAATGGAGCAACTTTGTTCTTTCAGGGGGGTCCATCAGGGTATATATATAGCGGGGTTTTTGGTTAAGAGTATCGCATAAGAGATAAGCACTAACCGACAACTCATACAGCTTGGATGTAGAGAGATTGAAGATTGCGCGTGCCTGTGGATGAATATGAAGGCTGTTTCAAGGCACAACGCCCCTACCAAAGTTTTTTTTTCTGGGATTCGCTGTTAACACTTCAATATAACACTTTGGGGTGTAGTTAAATGGAGCTGCTTAAAATCTTCATTTTCGGGTTAAGAAAGTTTGAGCATACTTCCAAAGTTTAGGGGACATTTGAAAGAACCGCCAATAATGCTTATTGGTTGAACACACGTAGAATGCAACTCCCAGCGTCGATTGTGACACTAATATTTTGTGCCAGTAAGTTACACCTTTTTTGAGAAGTTATTTTTGGGCTGCCCTATATAAGGCAGACTTCCGTAGAAGCAAAAATGCAAGAAGTTACTCATATTGTTTTGCTTAGTGCGGGTGCAACCTGAAGTATACGAGAAATGTACCAATAGATCTTCCTTCACAAGTTGTTCCATAGAGCACTTACCAGAAAATAACCTGTTGTTGAGGTCCCGAAATACCAGTAGTTCGTCATCTTGCGGGACAGAACTTCGTATAGACAACACACAAAGCTTCATAACGGCGCCAACAAAGTTTTTCTCAGTTTGTAGTAGTGGTCAGCTGTTTCGGTGTGCTAGAACACTTAGGAAACATAAACAGGTCATGCTGCTTAGGTAGGTCGGCCATTGCTTGAATATAAAAGTTGTGGCGACAGATATAAGAGGACAAACACGACTAAGTGTTATACATAGACACTCCTCTGTGCTGATTTGGGTCCTCTTTTTGCTCTCGTATACTTACCGCCACACCTCCTGTACACATTTGATAAAATATGCTGTACTAGTAGGATATAGCGAGCATTTATTTGCAGGACGATGGTATAGCCAGGTGCTACGCTTCTTGTCGTTCCGACACAAGCAACATAACTCTAAGGACAATGCTTCCGGATCATTCACCGTGCAACGAGACGGGCTTTGAAAGAACACAATCTAGACGTGCAAGCGGACACATTTCTCAGGAAGACGTAAGCGCATCGATGTTAATTCAATGAATGCTGATGAAACGTGTACACGAACAGTAAGGTTGCGGAAAATAGTCATTGTTAAATGATAATTGCTAACAAATAGAACTTTATAGCGTTGCGCCGTAGTTACGCCCACAGAATAGAGTGATATTTTACGTAAGGACATATTTAATTGCACTTTTATGCTCATATCCCGGAAAGTTCAAGCTTTATCACAGAAACTAGTTCATACTAGCTCTGCCATTCGTCACACCTGTTTCATTTCTGACCCGTATACTCAGAAACAAACACAATCAATACCTTTAGTCAGGTTCGTGTGTGTTTGATTGTAGCAATCGATCTGCACGAACAACCCCACAGCGCCTTGAAAGCGAAACACTGCAGGTTGTGAATATCATCAGAAATTTGGCACTTGACAATATATGTATTGTTTCTGTTAAAATTATTTTGTTACTTTTGCAGATGGTTTGCGTCAATGGTGATTGCAGAGCGAAACGCTCAAAATAGCCTGTCGAACCAGAAACAGTTCCAACCCGGCAATAAATTTTCTTCAACAGTGACGTGGTTCTCACTGCCTTGTGAATGTTTCGTGAAATCACTAATAAACATATCGCCCACATCTACTGTAATACACAGCCAATGATCGAATGACTCCACCATTTATCAAAGCCAGCCTGATTATGTCGACTGCAGGGCAAAAGCCCTTCCAATGACTTACAAATAACTAAGTCACATGCATGTTGTGGCCATGTTATCCCCTCAAACTTGATCTAACTCTTGGTCTTCCAAATTTCTTCATTATGAAAGCAAAATAACTCCTTTACTCAAAAAAACCTAGCAGTTTTTCAAGGTACGTACACAACCAATCAGCGAAGCTCCATACAAATGGGAAGCAAATGGTCACGCGCCTCATCTCGCTGTTGGCATTCGTGAAGGTGGTAGGGTGGGGAGTGGATGTTGAGAGCGTCTGCTGCGCTTGTTGATTGGAACGACTGAACGAGCGACTGTGCAGCGGACGCTGCGGAGCGTGAGTATCTCTAAAAGAATGTATCTCTCCTTATTCCTCGAATATAACATTTGTGTATGTATTATTTGTGTATGTATAGGCACTGGATCTTGACCCTAAGTGTAGTTACTGTTAGAGATTTTTTGTGCTTATTTGTACAACACGTATTTGCAGCGTGTACGTAACCTAAACGGACTGCGGCTCTGTCTGTCTAAGCAGAGCTAACTGGGTCCTCCGTTTGGATTCGTGAACATCATGTGCTTCACCCCTCCCCAGACTTCATGCTTGTGAAGCTGAAACACACTTGCCTACAAGCCCGTACACCCAAATATTTCCTTTAAGTATATTCCTTTAAGTACAGTTTATACACATGCAGGTGCACCGGTCCAAATCTGCTGTTCGTTAGTTAAAGCAACACCTTTTCCAATGTTCCTTTCACAGTAGTATAGCTATTTTTGAAGTATGCTTTCAGTGCTTGCTATTGCTGTCGCAACTGTTCCATTTATTTTTTTCCTCACGATACCAATGCTAACATAAGTTCCTTTCTTCAATCATGTATTTTATTTCTATCGCCTTTCAGCATGGTTTCAGCTCTGTATAATGGCTATAACTTGCTTTGTATCTTGTGATTATTGCATACATTGTGTATCAATAACATAATTAACGTTTAACTTCTGCACTGCTTAATGGTTATATGATCCTCATGTCCTGTTATTATGCTTGCATGTTTTTACGTCTACATCCTTTTTGTGTGTGTAAAAAATTACTGTATTGCCCAACTGCCACGCTCTCGAAGGAGAGTAGCAGTATTGTAAATAAATAAATAAATAAATAAAATTAGATTAACGTAATCTTTTTTATTCGTGATGTAATGGTCAGTTACATTGTTTTTCTCGATAACGGGGTTTCGATAACATTACAGTTCTTTGTGGAAGTCTCCATTTGTTCCCCCACACCTGCGATACATATGTTCTAAACGCCTGGTGAAGGGTCGGGGACCTAGTGCGGTGTTAAGGGGCTTCCTTTATGCAATATTTTCTAATGTATTAAGTGCCAGCGTTCTTTTGTCCAGCAGAATTGTCTTCAAGGTAAAGGCCCTTGTGATCTTCCACAAATGAGGGTTAAAGATTATGAGCCCTCAAACACTTACCACACAATTTCGTGATATTTAAGGGCTGAGCAGTGTCGTGAAACAAGTACTGAGGCAGTAGTACAATTTAAATACTGTTGAGTATCTGCATTTCTTTGGTGAGATTTATCTGCCAAACATGTTTGTAAGTCTGTGTTAAAATATTTTAAGACGTATCCACTATATCGCGACACAATGCAGGACACGATTATCACGTTACTTTCTAAATGTGAAGCATATTTCACTGCTTACTGCAAGCACTTTTGTCGTCTATCTATCTATCTATCTATCTATCTATCTATCTATCTATCTATCTATCTATCTATCTATCTATCTATCTATCTACCTATCTATCTATCTATCTATTTATCTATCTATCTATCTATCTATCTATCTATCTATCTATCCGCTTACGTCTGGTACTATCGTGATCACCCATCAGCGCTGTGAGCAGGTGTTCTACCGCGGAGTCAGAATAGTTCTTGTAGCTCCATTGGAAAGACCAATTACAATGTAATCTAGTGGCAGGAGTTTACGCATATTGTATTGCATTTCCGAAACGTAAAATGGTGCCAAGATTCAAAAGATTTGAATTGAGCAATGAGCGGGCGTTCGAAAGGCCCACCCACTACAAAGTACTCAGACACACTCCAGTATCCTCACTGTTAGCACCATCAACGAAGTTCACAGCTGCACAAGTTCACGTGTTGCCCTATAGACGTGTAGTGGGCCTTTCGCAGCGAAGGGCCCACAACGCGTCTATAGGGCAACGCGCACTTATTAAAAAAAAAGTATGATGACAAGGTGCTGAGACATTAGCACTTTGTAAATATTCCGTTTGCGAAATAAATATTTGGAAAGCTCTATTTTGTTGTTTTCCTGTTGCTGTTCAACTGCTATCCTGCTTCCGATCTCGGTGCATGCTTCAACCGTGCCTTACAGCATCACTGCGGCATGCAACCGAAGTAGGCTAGTACTTCACAAGGCAATGCGCAAGGTACCCACTTTTTCTATCACGATCTACCCTTGAAGGCGAAGCTCAAGCGTCCTCAAATTATTTGGGATACTTTTCTGAGTATATCTGCTCTACGCCCTTTTACACAGAGCTGCATCGTGGACATCGGTTTTCAGTATAACGGATACCTACAAGATATTTAGTGTAATGGTTTTATTTATGCAATAGTGTTGCGCATAATATTTTAACGCAGATAGGTAATTTGGCTTGCAAAAGCACCTGTAAATAAACCTTGACTGAATGGCATGAATTTTAGTAGAAACAATTATTTTCCGATTACTTTTAATGAAAATGATTTCCACAAAGCGAGGGATCGTCAATTTTTTATTAATTTTTATGACTACGAATCTCATTTTACACACTGCAAATCCAGCCTGGGTTGATTGCCGCACCACTCTGAACTTCCAGAATATACCGTATGTATAATATCGATGATCAACTACATTCAGTATCAACTAGCTAGTATTCGCTATCTTCTCTTGCAAACAAAACAAACGTGTACATCAAGCCAGGTTGGTGCACGGACACGCCGGATGTTGCTCCGTATGAGTGGGGGGAAAAATGGGGGATTGAGCCACCGATGTGCACTGGCTAATTTTGTAAGGCTCCATGCTTACATGGCTGGATAAAATGTTAAGTGCACACCTTGAAACACGTGCAAGTTAGATGAATATTTTTTTTTATTTCAGTGCTCTTCGGTGCATCACTGCACTTCGCGGTGTTCTGCTAGGTACGCTTTCAATTTAAGTGACGGTTTCCTCAGCACCGCCACTCACTGCTCATCGTCTGATACTTACACCCGTATTCAGAAACGCTCCTCGACTTTACTGTATACCCTTCACTTGTCAGAGTTGAGCACTGCGCTGCTGCTCAGTTGAAAATGACGCTGCGCTACTTAAGAATAGCAGAAAAATATCACTGATATGCAGTGACTTGCCCTGCCTAGAGATGGCGCTGCCATCGGCTTTCTCGTGTGAAGGTGGAGTGTTGAGGGAAGGGGCATTCTAGAATACGGGGGTTAGGCCTACAGAGATACAGCCAATGCAAGTAAACAGACCTCGATGTGGACGCTTTCCTCATGAAAATCGCGAAAGAAAACATAAAAGATTGCCAACATCTGCTAGAAATCCTAAAAATATAACAATAGACAAGGCACCTTCTCGACCCCTGATATAATAACATATAGGAAAATAAAGTTGGCCTCCGGAATGTCAAACATTTAGCACTTCGTTTCGGTGTTAGTAAAAAGCGTTGATTGTTGTTTCCCTTGAGAAATCGTCACGCACGACTGAACGGAATACGCAGCACAGTCACAGCGAACGCTGAAAAAGTGGCCTTCATAGAGCTTGTTAAACTCTATTGGCGCAACTATTACAACCACACTGAGAAGGTGCCCAATATACGATAATGTATAAATTTTGTGAAGTTGGAAATCACACAAAAGCCAATATCAGTGATCCTGCAAAGAGTCCAGGTACCTGTTGAAGGCATTTTTTGCGCTTTTCTCACACTGAGGCTGATGACCCTGAAGACTAAAAGCTTGGGAATTCGTAGAAAGTGTGATACCTCAAACCCTACAATTGTGGCGCATTTCAGATTGTGTGACGCCTGGTTTTTTTTCTTTAGTCTTCTACCACGCTATAACACGCTCGTTGACGTAATTCTACACCTGACATGGCACCTCTTGTGTTGGCTGGCGCTCAGTTGGTAAGGGTCCTCTGCGAAATATACGAACATGCCACTAATTGTTCGAAGTTGAGCGCCGTTTGCTAGCAACGCCCTATCATGATAGAGCCATGAACCAACATGCATTAGTTATAAATGTCTTTCCCCAGAAAGTTGTCTAATCTCGTCGGTACATATGTCGCAGAACGTAGGTAGCACTTGGTGACGAAGATCAGGTCTTGAAGAGCTGCACAGCGCCAAGGAAGGCAAGTGCTTCGACACTCGGTCTCTGTTCGGTATCGATGATTGAAGAGTGCTGTTCATTTTTTTTTACGAACTGATGTCATGAACAAAGAAGCCATTGCAGATCTGATACAGCTTGCTGCTTGACTGGGCCCGATGTAAAAGGTGAACGTTGTTTCCGCGAATGGCTGGGCATCCTACGAAGAGCGGCTAACGTCTTTCTAATTGCCAACAGTGTTTCCGTCTTCGCTACGTTTCGCTCGTGACTACGTTATCGCGCACGCCCAAGACATTCATTTTCGTATACTTATCTCGACAATGAACAATTGCGGGCGAAAGCTTACGCACCTTCCCACTTTCAATTCCTAGCTGGTGCTCAAAATAAATACAATGCATGAAAATCAGAGCAAGCGCACGTTCGCGCAGTTTGTAGATGTTGCCCAATATTTAAATCTGAAATGCGGTGGCGTTGTTTATGTTCTAATTTGATAACATTCAGACTGCGTGAATTGAAATGTTTTCGCAATTCAGAGTGTGCCTTGCTTCTCTGTTCACCCTGCGCGAAAGATGTGGTCTTGGAGCGCAAAATTTGTGCAGGTAACAATTTCCGGTGTTTGATGTCCCAGAACCTACATAGGATGGAAATTTGGGCTTTAATGGAATAACTACGCACGAAAGTTGCTTTGTTCGCGCTGTACCCACGCGTCTTTCTTGCTTAGAATACGCACAAACATTGTTCTCCAAGACCACATCATCCGTACAGCGTGAGCACAGCAGAAAGCCACACTCGAAATCGCGAAAACAGTTCAATTCATTCTGTCACAAATTATTGCATCAGAACATGGACAACGCCGCTGCATTTCACAATTATTTATTGGGCAACAATTACAAACGGCATGAACCTGCGTTTGCTCTACCTTTTACACACGTGATTTTTTCTTTAGCATCAGCTGCGAATTGAAACTGCGAAGGTATCTAAGTTGTTGCACGCAATTGTTCATTGTCGAGATAAGTATACGACAGTGCACGCGATAACGTAACCACAAGCGAAACGTGGCGAAAACGGGATGCGGAGTGGATGCATACCACTTGCAGGCCTTGCAGACTGGAAACAGAAGTTTACTAGTAAAACCGATGCGCGCTCCTTCTATTGTTAGCTGCAGCAAGCATATCATTTTAAACGCTTCAAAGCGCTGAACTCAGTCCAAGCGAGCCGATGCCACGCGTCGGAGTATACGAGTTAAAAGTGCTGGAGGCTTTGAAAAGAACATCCTGGGGGACCATCCGTCACCGAAACCGTCAGCCATCAGTGACCAAGCAGACTTCCACAGAAGGTAGTAAGTCAAAGGTGTGTCGATTTCTGATTACGTTGCCACGTTGCGGAAGCTATAGAGCAAACCTATGATTTTGGACGCGCGTTTCACTGAGATAGCTTCGTGTGCGGTTTGTTAGCAGATGATATGCAGCGAGTGTTGTTCACCAAAAAAGAGAGCTCACATTTCAGAGAATGTCGCAGCACGCTGTGTCTTTGGAGATGGCAAAGAAAAAACACCGCTGAAGCCTGCACAGGTCTGCCTACAGCCAACACCATGCATGAGGTAGAGGCGGCTTCAAGTGTCCAGTCGGAGGCCTGTGTTAGCTACGGATCACAAAAACATTTCGGAAAAGTGTGTCCCCACGTATGTGGCCAATGTTACCAGTGCAACAAAAGGGGGTAGCTTCAATGGCTTTGTCGAAGCGCATCTGACAAGTAGCGTGGGGTACTGCCCATGAAGAGCACTGTAAAGATTTTACCGGTGGAGTGTCGCTCAGAAGTCGTAGCCATAGAGAATGTGTCTGCCGTTGGTATCGAACATATTATGGTACCAATGAAAGTATATGATGTGGCCATGTTTATGGAGATGGTATAGATGTGGCCGTCACAGTCATGTCTTTCAAACAATGCAGCCATTTTCAGCCAAGCTCAAGCTGACCGAAGTCAAGCTACGCTCCTATGCAAGTGCTCCGGTGATCCTAAAAGTCATCTTACAGGTCGAAGTACGACACGGCGGTAACACGCTGAGTCTGCCTTTAATAGGTTCTTGACCAGGAGGTACCGCCATATGCTAGGCCGAGAATGCCTTCAGGCAATCGAGCTGGAATGGAGCAAAATTTAGAACGTCCACCATGTGCTGGGGTAAGAGCTGCTCATTTTTTTTGTTGTTTAAGAGAAAGGATATATAGCTTCACTTCGGGCACTATTTTTTATAGATGAGCCAGGCAGTCGGAATATTTACAATCAAACCGCTCTCTTTCAAGCCTATTAAGGCTCCGAAGTTTTTGAAAAAAAAAAGAAACCTGCCTTTTGCGTCACAAAAGGTGTTCGAGACTGAGCTTTTGAATATGGAAAAAATTTTGCATCACAACAGCCGTTGCCACAACCGATTCCGCCCCGGCAGTATTACCTGTATTCAAAGAGGTGGTGGCATACGCGTTGTGGCAATTATAAGGTGACAGTGAAACCATGCCTTAACCTCACCCGTTATCCGTTGCCGAAGGTTGATTACTCATTAGAGGCTCTGTCAAGAGGCATGTATGTTTCAAAATAAGCAGCTGAACTGCGCTTTTCAGCAAGGGGTTATATTTGATACCTGAAAGCAATATCTTACACTTAAAACGCACAAGTGATGGTTTGTTATCAGCAGATTGCCTTTTCAAGGCATTTCCGTGCCAGGGATTTTTCAAAACATAGTTGGCACGATGTTGAAGGGCCTCAAGGAAGTTTTCTGCTACCTAGATGATGTTTCGGTAACGGCGAAAGCAGAGGATCATTTAGCCGGTCTAGAAGCACTGCTAGAGTGGCTTTAATGCCGAGGCATCAGCATATAGGAAGTGCTGGTTTTTTTAAAGCAAAGTTCACTGTCTTGGCCACAAAATCTGCTCTAAAGGCATTTCTTCATTATTAGTAGATGTTACGCATTTCTGCTACCACCAGAGCCGGTCTCAAAAAAAAAAATTTGTTGTTGGGCGTTGAAAACAAATACAGCAAGTGTCTAAGTCAGCTACGAACATTTGACAGGTTTCTACAAGAGAGGGTAGCATGAGAGTGGGAGGAACATGCTCGAAAAGCATTCAACCAAGTGAAACCGCTCTTCACACAACCATCTACGCTCACACACTAACATTCTGTAAGACAACTTATAGGGTTGTAGTGTGCGTTTCCTCAATTGCACTGGTCGGATTCATCGTTGTTATGTGAAACGTAAAACTGTTACGCGTTGGCTCACTCAGAGACTTTTCTCACCTCCTCTGTGCGTTCCCTCCCCTCCCCCTTCCCCAGTGCAGGGTAGCCTACCGGGCTGAGCCCTGCCTAACCTCCCTGCCTTTCTTCTGATCTTATTTTTTTTCTGAAGGTCATGGAGCCTATGACTGGCTTCAAGAGGCATTTTTAACTTAAAAAAAAATTGCGGCTTAAGTATGTTAGTAGACATTAGCGCATATCACAGTGACAGCTACGTCACACAACATGTGAACTGTTTCTTCAAGGTGACATACATGGTATCTGCCAAACGAGTAGGCTAATTATCTGGTTATTACTGTCCCCAGAGTAAACCCTATGTTTGTGTTCGGGCTTCAATTTTTTTGTCTTTTCAAGAGTATTTTCCTTTTTTTTTGTCGCAACTCCCTGTGCCTGAAAATTTGAAAAAACCAGGCATTGTTATTTTACAAGACGCTGCATACGACAACAGTAGCGTTAATTCAAAAACGTCCGTAGCTAACTAATTTCGATGTAATACCGCCTTGAGCAGACTTTTTAAGGCTAAAGCCTCGTATGCCTTTTCAAATATGAAAATTCTTACGTGCTCGTATTTGGGTGCATGTTAAAGAGCACCAGTTGGTCGAAATTTCTGAAGCCCTTCGCTATGGCGTCTCTCATGAGTACATGGTGATTCTGGGACGTTAAACCGACAAGTCAATCAATCAAATGCAAATATTGACCGTTGGTGATGACGGCTTCAATGCGAGTGATGCGAAAGCTCATTCTCATCTCCCAACATGACGTTCTTATGACGGTACCTGGTGACGTCACTGCCGCTTAGTTCATTGTGGGTCGATTGCCTATGCTCTCGATAACTGCAGGAGGTGCCGAAAGCCTTCGTGAAGGTAGAGTAGGAGTTTATGCAATCGACGCAGAAGATAAAAAACATAAATTGCGCCTTCGAGCCGTCTTTTGTAAATGCGTAACAGACCATGTGATCTTCAAAATTACCAATACGCGTCAAATACGACATCACCGTTTCCCGCGGGTTCAAATAAAAGTGGACGCAGTGTGTCAGCCACGCTTCAACTTTACGTCTATGGGTAAACAGCTTGAAAAGAGCAGCTTCTACTGAAGGGAAAGACAAAGCAGCTGTATTATACGAATAGTTTTTACGCTGGATATGCATCTATGATGCCGTTTAGTAGCCCCTTCAAAGTTCGGCTCTTTCGTTAATGTGGACAAGCAAAGGTCATGGAACAGCATATTGCCATAGGAGCAACGTCTCCTTTAGTCATCGAGTGCTCTCGCTAGATTGAGCCTGTGCTACGAAATAGAGCTGAATAATAACACAGAATGCCAGACCACTGGAGAATAGCTGACGTCGTTGAACTTCTGCCTGCTCGATTCAGAAAAGACAGTCATATACTACAAGTTTATATTATTATTTGAACAATACGCTTTTCACAAGTGACGTTTTATTTCAATACCAAACATTCAGTTTTAGTTCCACTAATGAGTTCTCAGTCATCAATAATATTCATTATGGTGCAGGTGGTACACAGCTCGATATGCGCACCAAGTAAGTACTATCATACTTTTCTTCGGAAGCAAAATATTTTTCCGGAAACATTATTGTCCTTGAGATACAACAAGTGCACTTTCCACAGATATGAATCCATGGACTTATTTACTAGCTTCAGCAATCGTTTACTAGAAGAATAAAGGCTAAGGAATGAGGATAGAAGGTAACTTGAACTCAGGGCAAGCTAGAGCCTATAGCGTATATGGCAAAGAAGTAACGTGTGTTCTTGAACATGATATTTCTACGTGAAGAACATGTTATATCTTAAGTAAGTAGTCACACTGTTGTTCCTAACTGAAAGCTCACTGTGAAGCCAACCTTCCCCAATTTATGTAATATCCTGTGGTAGACAAGCAAGTAATGTATTTTTTTCATAACCTTGAGGGGGTGAAGTCAATTTCCACCTAGTTAGGCTACAATAACACTGGAGAAACATTCAATAACACTAATCCGCTTAGGTTCAGTACCAAGCAGGAAAAATGTCGTTTTTTGCAAGATGCAGTTGAAGTGTAAAAAAAATAAAAAAGTAATAGGACACCAGAAACACACAATCCTGTTTCATTCTACATGGTATGAAATACTGAATGCAATATTTCCGATAGGCGTTCACGGTGACTGCTTATTCTTCTTCTTGTTTTTTCTTGCTTAAGCTCAGGCTTCTAAGTAGGGCACTGCTCAATGCATGATGACCCCTTCAGTATTTACAGAATGTGCTTATGACTACAGATGAAAAAGGACATGCGATGACTAATCAATCTCGATATTAGATAAGCGTTATCATATTGAAGAAAGGCAATGGCTTACAGGTCATTCAACGCATAATACATCAACTACAATCATTTGTGCATAATGTTCTTTGCCTGATATTTGAGTTATGTTAAGTATCTTGTTATATATTATTTATCTTTGTGTTTTGTAGAGTCGACAGTGTTTGCGAAACATGAATACCAACTGAATTCATACGGTAAAGTACGTCAGTGAATTCTATAGGGCAATATATTTATGAATGCGTGATTGCTGCAACACATAACTTGCAAAAATAGGGTAATCTGCAACTTCATCACGCACAATGGTTATGGTGCACCTATAGTGGGGAGAATATTGTCGTAATTGTTTCATAATTATTTAAATTTCTGAAAAATTTTCGGTATCGTTGTGCATTGTGGACGCTCATGAAGAGTTACTCTGTACTTTTTTCAGCTTCCTATCTTGAGAAAATAGTTTTTCCTGAGCTTATAGAAGTTCGAGATATTAGTGCAGAAAAAGTGCTGAAAATTACGGAAGATCTGACTTTGTATTTGGAGAAGAGCTCAGTGCTAGCCAAGGAGTTTCTTCTGAGGACGTATGATGGGCGCCTGATGCAGCATACATACGTAAGTAAGAATGTCGCCCATGAATAGGCCAACCTGTGGCAAGCCGTAGACTGTCAAAATAAAAAAAAAAACGATTTCTACAGCACTTTCTATGTCCTGCTATTTATATCTATTATGATAACGTTTTTTTTTTAACATTTAACGCAATAGATTCATTATTATTCATTTCTTAAGATCGTGATGCAAGAAAGCAAGTGATGTAAGAAATTTGTGCTTTATTTTCGTTTAGAAATATAGGTTGTGAAGAAAACGTTTCAACATCCTAAGTGTACGGACACAATGATGAAAGGTCGCAAGTGATGTTTTGCACGCCGCTACTACTCTTGAAAAGGTCTCACCAGCCCTGTAGTTCAACACAAAACTTGTTGGTGCAACTTAGTGGAAGGAAAAGTGGCTGAAACTTCAGACAGTCTACTTTCAAAGTTACTCGGCCCCAATAATAATTCTGTATACTGAAACATATGGCGTTCACGTGCCCGCAACTATGGTCCTCACATTGCATTGTTTATTTTATCAAAATTTTGAGTGTCAAAGTTATCTGACAGCAGGATATTTGTGTTCCGAAGCGATGATGGGGCAGCGTTTTCTAACTATAGCGTTTTGTTTTCCATTGAGTAAGAATACAACCGGCAAAGTTCACATAACAGTAATTTTCTCGAAGCACCGCAAGAAAATACTGCAGAAAAATCCCCGAACGTTACACCTATTTTTAGTTTGATTTACGTGAATGCATCCATCATTAAGTCATACACTGAAATGTATCGCTTAGTCGTGCTGCCAGCAACTAGCTGTAGTCTCCACAGGAAAAGACACGCACAGGGTGATGGGTGTGCGTGTGGCCGTGTCACCTAGTTCCTAGCGGCACAAATAAGCCATCAATTTGTACCAACTAGCCTACATAGCAGCCATACTTAATTGTGTTCAAAACTAAAGCCTCTACATCAACCCTAGCGAGATATGTTGACGGCTTTCATCTTCAGGAAAAAAGCATAGCCGAATACCTGGCTCGCTGACGCCGTGAAGTTCATTTGACTGTATTACAATTTTTGCACTTTTACGTAGTTAGATACTATTTTTGGTTGCGAAAACTTGTAGCCAAAAACGCACATTGCTTTGAGGATGTTCGTCGTTCCTAAGCTTATTTGTTTCTTTACCTATTTTACTGTCAACTAATGTAGAAGTTTACGTTGAAATACCTAGTACAGAGCAGTCATAAAAAGTTCACCGAAAAGCGTTGCAAAAATACAGGCCGCATTGCCAGTACCACTTTTTAAAGAAATATTTGTGGCGAACTATTATTTACTTTGATGTCATAAATCGCTTTTACGAAACTTGCCTTATTATTCATCTTTGCTATGTATTCTTTTCAAGCTTGATGGAGAATCGTTAGAAGAAAACCTCTACCACGACCTTCGTTCGTTATCCTCCGTAATGGTGTCACAAGAAAGCGGACTGAAAGTGGTGAGGCTAAACTTTAACATTGCTGTAACTGTTCATCAGTGAAAACTAAACGCAGCATATTTTGACGGGACGCTATATGAGACGTTGTAACATATCTAGTACCTAGTGCCCTCAGTCATGGAGGGGACACATTTCACCCTCACGAGAAACCTCACCGCTTCTCCTAGAAGCCTTGTTGGCTCGAAAGGCCCGGATAGGGTGCAGTGTCTAACGCGGGGACGTTGCGGTAAACGCATTGGTTCTCGAAATGTGACATCAATGCACTGAATAAACGCTCTGAGAGGCTTTTGCATCACGTAATTCGTGTTGTCAATGTCATTAGCGTTCACGTTATCGCCTGTCATTTATATTAATTGTGTAAGCGTTGTACTTGATGTCCATTCAATAGGACATCAAGTACAACGCTTACTTGATGTCCTAAGAAGGTAATGAAACTGCCACTACGGTAGCGTGGTGGCGTTTTAAATTATGTGAACTGAAGTTCATGACAAATAATTTATACTATTCGTTTATGGAGCTGTAATTATTGTAGATCTCCAAATATTTCTCCATTATTGCAAGCCACAATCTTATCACACTATTCATGGGATCAGTTATAAATAATGTAGACCATGCACAAGGATTTCAACCAAACAGCCCTCACTTGTTGAACTGGGACCGTAAACAAAGACAGTGTTTGAGAAGAGGCTTACAAATTTTACTCATTTGTAAGATATGTATTGACATGATGTTAGATGGAATCTTGACATCGAACCTTCTTTGTAAATGACCCGCATATGATCTATGCGAATGGTTTTGTTTTCAATGGTAATATTTGCTAAACATATGTATGCGTGCTAGCTAGCAGGAACTTTCATTGCAAAATTGATGCCCCGGAAAGCTGTCTCCTAATCCTGTAGATAAGAAGGCGAACGCATGGAGGCAGCCCTAGTTTCTGATTTTATGCAGCATCCCGAATCTATTCAATTTTTCAGGAGGGCGTCTTGGGACCAAGGTTAACAATAAGACCCTCACTCGAAGCTGCAAGAACTGCAGACGGACACAATGCTCATATTCTTTATGAAGTTGCTGATGAAACCGAAAGTGGAAGTGGTAAGAAATCATAGTCAAAACATTGGCGCGGTATTTTCGTATTCGTGCTAACGTAACGAACGTAATCATGATCACAATACGGCAGTTGTTAGAAAGTTCCTTTAATAAGGAAGACCAGTCATTGAGGAGTATTTAAGTTTATTTTAGCTCTCTCATGTCAATGGCGTCAGTCTACTTTAGACTCAACTCAAAACACATAGAGGCCTCTTCAGCTTTGCCTGCAAGAGTAAGACGCAATGGCGTAATCTCAACCCACGCGCATTGCCTCCTTCTATGCCGCAAGACCAGGAACATTTTTACTTGTGAAATCGACCGTTTCAAGCGATCCAACAATATCCAGGCGTTGTAAAGACCTAAGTGCAAGCACACTACGCCATAGTTATTGTTTTTGCTTATAAACAAAGTACCCACTACATATGCGTAAGGTGCTCCATGCACTGTCCTGCAATCATTCGAATCGTAGGACGGCTTACAAACACCCACTCGTTGTGCAATTCACATGCTTTCACACTCGAGCCAATTTTACAATTTTATCACACAATATTACACGCGATAAGTAGACTACTTCTAGTACAAGACACTCATGTACTGTTTATTTTTTTTTAACAAGCCATGGTGTGCCTATGGTAGGGAACACCTGTTTACCACGCAAAAAACCTGGGTTTGATTGTCTGTTTCAACCGAAACTTTTTAAAATATATTTTACTTGCATCGTTATCGATTTTTCAGTTGGAGACAACGTGATTTTTCGCTCAGAACCATCGACAACGATGCCGATACCAATGCAAGATGCCCAAAATTTTTGTGAAACGAGCTGCCTAATGCTATTGTGTTAAAATGCACATCATTCGAATGCACATTTGGAGAGGAAAAGGTAGAGCTGCATTATATGAAGCGACTATCATGTTGAGCGTACGAAGGTAACCAACACTTAATAGTCTTTTAACATGATATCATTATGAGCTCGTTTGGAGGAATTCCGGTGTTGGCGTTGGTCGTGTTGGTGTGATTAGTTGTGACCTAATAATACTATCTAACCCATGATGAAAAAAATTGAGAAAGATCCAAAATATCACGCAGTAAAACTGGGCACCTCGAGGTAAAGTCGAACGCAGGTGTAATTGAGGCATGAGACTGGTTTACCACAGACAGACGCTACTGCTTGAAAGTGTCTTAAAAGACACTATACGAATGTCATGCAGTAGCAAAAAAAAATACTAGAAGCCTTTCGAACGAGTGAAAATCACAACCATGCCATATGCATGGTGAGCAGTTGTTTAATGACAATATCGGATTGTCATGAAGTAGAAGGATCGTTCTTGACGCATTTAATAAATCGAGGAAGAAACGTGCTATCGCCCAGGAATAATATATGCAATCAGTGGGTGTTTTAATGAACCACAAATCAGAAATTGCTCACCGACACAGTCTCCATTATGAAAAACAGCATCAACAAAATGAGCAGCAGTGGAGGCTCGCGTGTTTCCTTAGGAACACATAGTGGGCCCTTCGCACAATCGCTAAAGAAATTAATGGCATAGTTGGCAGTTAACGACGGTTAATGTGAATTTCGTTAAAGTGAATGTTTCCTCATGAAACACAAATTTCACTTCTTCACATGATCGCTCCTCTTTAAAGCTGTGATATTATGCCTCAGACGAAAGTCTTTGTCCTATAAAGACAATATTACACTTATCCCTCAAAATCTGCTCAATGGCAATGTCATTCTAGCCCAAAGGCATTGCTACACCTTGCAGCAAGGTAAAAGAACTATTATATATTTTAAACTAACTTCAAATATTTAGAGAAAATTTGTCACTTTTATATTCAGGACATATTGCTTGCATCCTTGGTCTGTGTTATGTCACACCATTGATAAACAATAACCCTAACTATGTCATTGCAGAAGCTGTCTTCACGCACGCTTCTTCGAATGTCCCCGATCGACAGGAAAACAAAGGTGCGTCTCTCGGAGGCACGTAATTTGCGGTGACAAATTGTATGCCCCTGAGGCAGTTATTTCAACGTACGTCTAAATAATGTTTTATATATTTTGCTAGGTGACACCGTGGACCTTATTCGCCCAGAGCTCCTAATCTGTGTAGACAGCACATTTGCAAGCCAATTTCCAGATCACAAGGCACTCCTTCGCTATGTCATCATTTCTGTAAACTCGGTAAGCTCCTCATGTGAAACTCTGTGTACAAGGTCTTTGAGGTAATTTTATTAAATAAATAAATTATATTTCATCATATGGTATACTATAATCTTTCCATACTATACAAAGCAGTGGTGTAGTCAGAAGGTGGCCCATCATGTCCGTGCCCTCTTCTCTCTTCCTACCCCCTCTCATTCATTTATGACGGTACACAGACCCCAAAAAGACACTCGACCACATCTACTTGCCCAGCACATGAAAATCTGCCCCCTCCCCCCTAATCGTCCCGAGAAAGTTTGTGCTTATGCCGCTTACGTTAACAATGTACTGGTTCATGAATGAAATTAAAATATTGAAGGACAGAATTGACCTGAAGGTACTTTTGGTTTTTCACTAGTGTTTTAATGGAAATATTTTCTTCAGGTGAATGTTAGGTACCTGACCGTTTCAGAACCTGCAGTCCGACTGAGGTTATGTGCAGTGGAGGTTTTCACTGTAAGTACAACTTTACATTAGTTGCATACTCAAGCTGTTGCGCGCACAACACGAGCGCACAGATAAAAGGTTCAGAAGGACTTGCGCAGGCTATCAACTGACGTTTATTCAATAAGAGAACACCATATATATCTGTGGCAGAACGACTATATAATGTGGTTTGATAGACATGTGGGGTTTAACGTCCAAAAGCCACCATTTGATCGCGGGAGACGCCGTAGTGGAGAACTCCGGAAATTTTGACCACCTGGTGTTCTTTACCTGGCACCCTAATGTGATCACACGTGCCCACAGCATTTTCGCATTCATCGAAAATGAAGCCACCACAGCCGAGATTCGATCCCGTGACCTGCGGGTCTGCAGCGGAGTACCTTAGCCACTAGACCACAGCGGTGGGGCATTGGGTGTTTTCTTTATGAACAACGATCACTCTGTAGTCTGCGCTGGTCCTTGTGAATCTTTCGTCGGTGGGCTCGTGTCGTGTGCGCAAACGTTTCAGCATGCAGCCCAACCAACTAGCCCACATTTCTGTATTTATTGTTTTTTGTCAGCATGAAACAATGTATTTTGGTCTTTTATAGGTATACGAAGAAAGTTTTTTGTACAAAGTAAATAGATTCGTTGCTTCCGGCAAGTCACTGGAGCGCTTAAAAGACTACGTTTACAATCACTACTACAAGTATGAAGAATACGACGTGATATATTTCATCACAGGGTAAGAAAACTTTTGCAGTCGAAAATGTTGGTAATACTTCATATTAGGATGGCTTTTCCAATAACTTTATATTTGCCAGTAAGTGAATCAGAAAATTTCGGTTAGATAAAAAGGTGCTATTTGTTCAGTGGTGGAATGGTTTTTATTTTTAAATACCATACAAGAGACCGTGAACAAGAACGCTAAAATCTCAAATGCCAACAATTTCTAGCACTTTGTGCAAAGACATATCACAAATATTATCAGTAATTGTTTTATATTTACAGTATTTCTTCCCCACTGAATATTGCAATAAAATCTACGAAATAAATTGCTGACAAAACTTGTCATTGGGCATGTTGTTGGATGCTTGTATAAAAGTTTCATTTGCCATTTCAAGAGCGAAGCACATGAGGGGTCTCAACGATCTATCAACCATGACTGTCGCCTCAAGTTGCTTGGTGAAACGCAGAAAAATCCAAAAAAAAAGCCTACCAATTTATAGTAAAGCCTTGTTTATCAAAGTGGCAAGTGGAGGTCAGCCTGTGGAGAAGTGATTGTGGGTGAGAAGAAGGTAGAGAATACTATATCATAGCTTCTTAGAATACTTTATCATAGCGTCAAAGTATATCATAGCTATGTACACCAAGGAGGTAGGAAAGAGAAGTGACGGTGAGGAGTGATCTGAAATTCAGAAGGATTGAAAGGGGTAAGGTAGAGTGTAAAGCTTGGCTTGGTCCTGTATGGCATTAAGCCGGCCAAGCCATGTATTACACAGTCATGCAGAGCAAGGGGGTGGTAAAGAGAGGTAGGGTGCAGTGATTGGAGGTTGAAGATGAATGAAAATGGAGTGGGTGACGGAAAGGCACAGAAAATTCATGTATGGCAACACGCAGGCCAAACCATGTTATAGCATAGCCATGTATGACAATGATGTGTGGAATGAAAGTGAGAGTGAGGGGGACCAAAATAGGAAGGAGAGGGTAGAACATAGCGTAGTCATGTATTGCATTTCTCATGCAGGTGCATGTATACCCCTGTATGCTACACAGTACTATTAGCGCTGTATACTACACAGTGCACGTAAAGCTCTGTATTCTGTGCAAAGGCGCTATGCAGCATCGGCTGAGTTTCTCGAAGCTCGGAATATTCCCGAGCTCTGACGACACCCCGTTATGAACAAGCCAACAGGAAGAAAAAGTCGAATCCACCCCTCAGCATGCTGTGTTTTATTGGTTACGATGAAACCAGTCATCGCGTCAAGGACGGTTGACTAAGTTGGGCGGTGTTTTCAAACCAGAGGCATCTTTTTTCAATTGTTTGTCGTTCCACTGAGTGCAGAAGTACACCCATTCAGTGAAAGTGTTCGAAACTTTTTGTAACAATATTTTTAGTGGCAGGAGTGTTTAAATTCATTTTGAGCTTTTAATGCCTGCACTGTCTGTTTTAGAATAATCAGCACGATGGCCTCTGAGATCAGTAACTGCCGATCTTCTTACAACATCGTGACTGCCGCTAAATTCGAGGCCCCGTTGTGGATCGGACATTATAGCGAGGCCCCGTGTCAGCCTGTACATTCAAGCGCGCAGCTCGGCTGCAGCGATTCGTGTTTGTTGTGACCACCCGCTAGCACCCGAGCTCGTGCGGCAGGCTACCATGCTACTTATCACTTACTAATATGATGGCAATTAGTACGCTGCTAATCAGGATTGCATTTAAAAGCTTCATACTGATCATGTCATTGCTAATGGCAACCAAGATAATTTCCTTTTATTTGAAGCCTTATCAACGAAGACAAGACAGCTCAGTGTAATGGTCAGTAAGCCTCAGTAAATTAGTCCAATGAAATTTCAGGTGGAGCTGATGCGGTCTTCCCTCGGAAGCTATCACCCACATGAGTAGAAGACCAACTTAAAAAGCTGCAAAAAGCTAGGTTATCACATGTTTCTCCAAGGCTCCAGCCTTGCACGAGTAGCGTATTCTCACGAAATTATATTACATGCACAAAAGCTACCACTTAGCGTTCACCGCATCAAACGCTTGACAGTCACACCAGCACCATCGTACTGCCGAGTTGAACTCGGGCATGCTCAGAATCGACGATTTGCATCCGAGTTTGCGGTTCAATCACTTTGATCGACTGACGCCCGCGGCGAATATTGGGTACGCCCACCTTGTTTGCTCTTGCCGAGGAGCAGTACTCACGACGAGCGGCAAGATTTCTTTATCAGCTTTATCGCGGAGACTATGCACACACGCACGCAGAAGTAAAAGTGATATCAGCACGTGGCTATGATCTTTCGCATTTAATTTCACCGCACTCACCACGTTGTCAAGCACAGCCGCGTTGCCGCCATAATACGAGCGCCCCTGGTAAGAACATCTTCTTATAGTTATCTGCAACATTTGATAGAGCGAAACGAGCAGCACAAGAGTGCTGCGTATGCACCACTGCTGCCTTCGAGAGTGAAAATTTCTATTATGCATGTGGAACGAAAGAATCTGTTCGAAAGAAGACAAACGCCAACGAACACGCCCGTGGGAGGCGCGTGTAGAGTTGGCAAAAAGATAGCGTGGCAACGACGCTGGCGTCACTGCACTGTTAAAATGTTGACTGAGTGCGACACTGACGTGTTCGCAGACGGTGTTTCTTTTATAACGCCGAAAATGCCACACATGCGTTTCCAACGCCACGCGCGTTCTTGTAGCCATTTTTATTAACGCTGCTATCACGCGCTCCACACTGTCTTCATACCATTGCTGCCGAAGACCGAGCTCGGAGCAAACTTGTCTGCCCGAGAAGCTCGGGCCATCCTGCATAGCACCCCAGGATTTTTCTGTACCAGCCATAGCCAAACAGTGTATAGCAATAGGTGGTACAGAAAAAGTGAAAGCGAGAAAGATTAGAGAGAGTGCTGTATAGCCTTGTATGTCTTGGTATAGCAACAGGACGATAAACTCAATGGAGTGGATGCTGGAGTGACGTGAGCTGTAGAAGATCGGGAGAGGTACCAATGGTTCACAATAGGTTTTCTTTGTCGCCATGGAAGCCTAGGCGGTGGCATGGTTAGAATGCAAGGGAAGGCGCACCCATAAATGCGGGCGTAGCTTAAGAAACTTTGAACCTTCAGCGAAGCTTACAGGCTGCCTTCGTCCTGTCTGCTTCTACTCTGGTGCTCCTTTGCGAGGACAGATTTTCTTTGTTTATTTTATTTTATTGTAACACATATATACTGCCCACCTTTCATGAAGGCTTTAGGCAGGAGTGCAGCACAAGTAGATGCTCGGGAAAAGATGAAAATAACAAAAAGAAGTACATGAAAAGAGATATTGCAAAGTAATGACGTTGAAAAATATGCAAAAACAACAAGATGAAACAAACATCGTGGCGGCAAGTGCTCACAAAGCCCATAACACCCATATTACAAAAACCCACACTGCATAGAGCCCATACAAACACTGATCCAGTACTCACATAGCACAAGAAAAAAGTTCCAACATTCACTCAGACATCGCAAAACAGGGAAACATATTACATCACATTACGCCTACTGCGTGCCGTAGCGCCTACGGAGCCATACCTTTTATCGCATGTTTGAAATATTCATTGTTGTGCCATGCGACCACATCAGAAAGTAAGGCCTTCCATTCGACAATTGTCTGTGGAGAGAAAGAGCACAGAAAAGGGTTCGTTCTGCACTTCAGTTCGGCCACTTTTTTGTGTCTGATGAGACCAAGTTAAGCGGCTAATGGCGGCTACTGTGAGGTCAGATGAATTAACGCGTTGGATTTTGTAATAAAATAAACAAAAAGATTTAGCCTGTCGTGATATCACCTTGTTTCCTGATCCTCTAGTACTGCTTTCTGTAGGAGGTGCGACGGGGATTTTTTCCAACTTTCCAACTATAACAGTTGTAAATGAACCAAGCAGATTTTTTTTGGATACCCTCCAGTTTGAATTTATTAGAGGCTGTCTAGGGATCCCAGGCCACCGCAGCATAATCCAATATAACCCTAAGAAATGTCTTCATGGCTAATAGTTTTATTTCTGACGTTGAATGATCCAGCTTGCTCTGTAGGTATCATAATTGTCTGTAGGCTTTTTTGCGGCAAACACTACATGTTTATTCCAGCGCAAATGCGAGGTTATGATTACTCCTAAATACGTATAGCTGAGCACAAAGCTTAATGGCCGGTACTGATGAAATACGTGAATTCGAGTGGTTGCTTTTTGCGGGTAATGGTCATTGCTACTGTTTTTAATATTAAAATAACATAATGTCTCAATAACCTAATGTACCCTTAACCGTTAATATAATCGCTGCTCCACACTTTATGTAGCTTTCGGTTGAAATGCAATAGCATAATTGTTTTCTATTTCCTGCAGCCTTGACATGGCAGCCTATAAAGGGTACCGCTGGGAGGATACACAGCAAGGTAAGTGCCATCCACTACACGGCTGTAAAAGTGCGATCATATATGCGAGGCCCACGTTTTTGTAGGAAGCGGGGGTGGGCATACTGATCAGAAGCTTTGTGACTCCGAATCTAATGTGACAACGTTCGCTAGTGTGCTTCTCTGGTGAGTGAATCGATAAGTCTGTAAAATGAAAATATATTGGATAAAGCTTGCAACCATTCGAACTTGCTGAGCAAAAATCCCTCGCAGCGGTCATCTGCCATCTCATAGTAAAATCACGCACGACGCAACGACAAACAGGCAATGAAGTATTGCTCCCGACTCGCCATAATGGCATCAGGAGGCACTGACAGACGCTCCCACGTTTAAATGCACGGATACACCCTATAAAGTGGATCGGGGGATGACCGCCATCCTAGTCAATTGTAGAGCATCGGGCGCGCTACGAAGGTTGCAGGTTCGAATCATGTCTGTCGCAAGTTATCTCCTCGTCCACTTCTCTTTCCTCAGATTTATATCTAATAACATCCCCTATACTTTTCCTACCACTATTTTCTGTTATTTATCATTACTATTGTGTCTAACATAGAAAACAAGTCTTCAAGGTTAAACTTTTTTTCTTCTTTAAATGATTGCTCGTAACACAAGACAGTCATGGCATGCATGTCATTAACATCACGACTTACATGACAGGGCCTTAGTTCTCAGTTCCAGCTCATTAATTTCAGATACTCCTAAATCGTGATTAAACGGCGTGAATATCTGATGGACAGAAATGCAAGAAGTTGGTAGTCATATCATGCACCCCTAATGAGTTATGATTTATATGGAAAGATCTTGATTCTCTGATGGCTGTCTCATTAACATAATATATACCAAAGTTTATATGGCATGATAAAAGGTAGTAATAATGGCAATAATGACAAGGATGTCCTATTTGTCGTTATTCACAAGAAACCCATTCCACGTGCAGCCATTTCAATAACTAGATATATTGATATCGGTGTGTAATGAGTATTACAAGTAGGAATGACCAGGTAACAATAACATCTGGGGTTTCACATTCGATAATTGGGATATGGTAATGAGAGGCGCAGTAGAAGAGGGCTCCGGTAATTTTTGTCATCTGATGTTCTTGAACACGCACTTACACCGCACAGTACACGGGCTTCAGCCATTTCGTCTTTATGAAAATGTGACCGCCGGTACTTCGATCAAACCGTGACACTCGGATCAGCAGCAAATCACGGTAACCACTACACCACCACGGCTGGTTTGGCATAACGAATTGGCCGTGAAACATGCGAGAATATGTTCTTTATTACCTTTGTGTAAGCAGCAGAGAGAGGGGAGAAAGAAAGTTAGGTGGGCGGATGAGATCAGGAAGTTTGAGGGTAAAAAGTGGCAGCACAGTACCGAGTTGAGTTGACTGGCTGAAAATGGAAGGGGCCTTTGTCCTGTAGGGAACGTAGTCAGGATTACGATGATGATGAAACAAGAGTATAAATGTACACAGACATGACAAACCGAATAGTGATCGAGATGTCATGGCGCGACTGTCTCGTATTTTCTCAAAAGCAAACAGCAGAAGCGTCCGTATTATGTGTGAAAGTATATAGATTGTTATGACGTGTGAGACCCAACAAATTGCTCTTCATTATTTCCGTATCGCAGATAAAAAGCGTAGGTTTTTGCTCTCAGCTTCCCTCAGTCGAGCCCTTGAATCTTTCGCGCGTCAGATATTTTAAAAGCTAATGCAGACAAATGAGACTGACCACATTCATTCATGGTGTACAATTGCAAGTGATGTGCGAGGCCATTGAATCTACATTTTTAAAATACAATGATGCAATAATTATCACTTCACCAGGTATCGCTTACGTGGCAGGCGCATGCACGGAACGGAAAGTTGCTCTTGGTGAAGATAGAGCCATGACGTACCAGGGTGTTCGTATATGTGCTCACGAACTTGGACACCTGTAAGAGTTCCTTCAGTCAACGAAATAGTCCTTGATTTGTCTTTGGCGAAGCGTTAACTTATGTGAGATAATGGTGTTTCATTTAGGTAGACATTGTGCACACTCATTCGTGTACATCTGAGAATTACATGGTAAACAACTAATCAACTTTGGTAAGAAGCAAATCTGCAAAATGAATAATTGCTGACTGGAACAAAGTTCTATATATTGCCAAATATGTTTTAGCTGCCCTAAAAATGATAAATACTTCAAGAAAGCAAGATACCACCACCGTCGAGCAAGAAATGTGCGTCACAGTGTTTTAGATTGTTTCAACCTGTAATGGTTTTCTTACTGTTTGCTATTTGAAAGAGCGCACAACAAAGATAAGGTGTCAGTTTGTTGTGCGTGCCCACTTGATAATTGATATGTGGGATTTAACGTCTCAAAACCACCATATGATTATGAGAGACGCCGTAGTGAAGGGTTCCGGAGATTTATACCACCTGGGATTCTTTACCCTGCGCGCAAATCTGAGCCCACGGGCCTACAACATTTCCGCCTCCATCGGAAATGCAGCTGCCGTAGCTGGGATATGAACCCGCGACCTGCGGGTCAGCAGCTGAGTACCTTAGCCACTAGACCATCGCGGTGGGGCTGTTGTGCGTTACCTAATGTTCTCGTTATCAACCTGCAAAGTATAAATCACTGTGCGTAACTTCTGCTTTTAGTGGCCCAATCATTCTCACTATAAACTTTTATGCCATTTTTTATAAGTGTGCCTACCCTTAACCAATGTTTAGCGTTTGCAAGTATTTAAATGAACAGAATATTATTACATAATGTTTATTTACAAATGATATGTCCAGCTCCTAAGGTAAACTTTTCACGATTGATTAAACTTTTATTAGCCAATCATTGATTGAAGCAATGAATTTGTAGATTTTAGATATTGATGCCATTGCATTGAGTACTTAATGTGAAGCCTGAGTGCTTCTACCAATCAACACTGAAACAGTGTTACGACTTGAGTGATGTGCACACGCAAAGACACACTTGCACAAAATGCGCAGGAAAAATGCTTCTCTTGCAAATGAAGTTTATTACAAATGTATTCTATAAAACCATTCGAAATATTAGGAAGTATTTTAATTTAGACTTCCGATTGTACTTTATTTCACAAGTTTCTTGTTTGTTGTCGCTTCCAAAAAATACACGGAGTGCGATTAGAACTAACGTTTTCGCTTTTCTCCCTAGGAATCCCCCTACGCTTTAATATGTGTAGTGATGTCAAATTAATCAAACACTTCAGAACAATATGTAGCTCACACTGAAATGATAGCCGGAATTATATGAAAAATTCTCTTTGCGCAACAGCTTTGGCTGTCCGCACGACGGAGAGAAGCATACGAACTTCAACTCGGAACGCTGTCCATGGAACGACGGATTCATCATGTCCTACGTTCAACATAACAGCAGAAGCCTGAAGTTTTCGTGGTGCTGCAAGAACATGATACGCCAGCATGCCAGGTATGGGTGTGCACCTATAGACACCAATCAACATATCGTATTTCTAGTCCCATGAACGGGGACTCATTCCAGTCAACCCGTTATCGTGGTCACGTTGTAACTTGTGGTAAAGAAAAATAATTGTTGCATAAAAGCACTGCAGCTGAGTGCGATAGACGCGGTGATTCTTGTTTCATTGTGGCAGTTTGGTGACCACGTTTAGTACTTCATAGGCAGCTTCATGAATTACCGGCTGTTTCATGCCCATGGTAACTCGTAGTTTTTCTTTAGATGCAGCAGAGCCTGTACATCAGCCCAACTTACGTAGCCTTGATGTTTCTGTAGTTGTTTTCTGGATTTCCCGACCCTTGATTTTATGTATGTTGGGAAGTAATGCTGTGGTGAGTCCATTACTCCGTTTTGACACATTGATTTTTTTACCAACAACAACTTCTTCTACATAACGAAATTGTAAAGCAGTCTGTGTTTTTTTTATTTATAAGCCATTTGAAACTCCATTTGCTGAGGTGACAACATCTTCCGAATGATTTCAGCAATTCAGAAAATTTGTTATATGGTAGTTCTTTTTTAGAGTTTCAAAAAGCTTCAAACTTGAGGTTTCTGAAAGTTTCGAAATTTGAAGTGGTGACTTAGCGATATTGAAAAGCAACGATGTCATTGTACATGGCGCTAACCCACGCTATCTCGCTGGATTACGTGCCAACGACTTGTGCCCTCGCGATCTCCGACGTCAGCGTAACTGTGACCTACTAGACTTGCCCTACGCCATCACCTGACACCGACAAGAGCTCTCGCAAGTGGTGCCCCATCCTCGGACACCTGTGACCGTGTTTAAATCTTTCCTCTTTTTCCTATCCCTCATATGCCCTCGCTGGCTGCCCCAGCGCATCTCTCTCTATATAAATACCTTTAATCCTATCCTTTTAATCCCTCCTCACCGCCATCCCTTGTGAGCTACTGTTGAGGTGTCGCACCCTGATGCAGACAGTTACGGGGCTCACTTTTTTTCTTTTTTTCCTTCTTAAAACCACTTCCCCCTCACACTAGCGTGCTGAAAATTTTCAGAAAAGAGGCCCCGGCATGTGGTCTTCTAGTTATAGCCATGAAGGCCAGGCAGATTGTCGCGTGAAGCTCGGAGAGACTGTACATATTCAAGAAAACCATTAAACCACATAAGGCCATCGTTACGTTTAGGTGGAGTCAATTTAAATCGTCAATGAGCCTTTGCCATGATCTGGTTTGCCGACACCCAAGTTCATTGTAGCGTACATGGGCATGGCTCACAACATGGATGTAATATAAGTATGTTTGTGATTTGGGTGGCGACATGTGGTAATGTGAAATTGTTAGAGTGCACGCTAAAGAAATTAGTATGCATCTAAAATCCTAAAAAATAACCACTTATCTTACACATTTATTTGGAAAGCAACTTCGTTAAATGTAATGTTGTGGCAAGTCAGTGTTGTTTATTCGAGTTTATGGAAACACTGAATCGCATGAGTGCCGGCAGGGGAATAGAACTGTTAAGTGCGAAGTATTCTTTGCGCGCTGTAGAACTTCGAGCATCTATCTATCTATCTATCTATCTATCTATCTATCTATCTATCTATCTATCTATCTATCTATCTATCTATCTATCTATCTATCTATCTATCTATCTATCTATCTATCTATCTATCTATCTATCTATCTATCTATCTATTTATCTATCTATCCCACCAGCTACACCTAGGTGCTCTCATAATCATTCCTTCGCCTTGCAGCAAACCAAAATTGGTACTGGAGGGTAAAATGGTTCGACGAATACGACTCGCTGGTCATGAAATGAATGATGTCATAATCGCGTTCTGTATGCCATCAAACACTATCGAAAAAACAGTAACACTTACGCGGAGGCGGGTATGTACCTCTGATATGCACGTATCGGCCACAGGTGTTTGACAATTCTTGTCTAGCCATGCACGTTAAAGAACCCCAGGTGGTCGAAATCTCCGGAGCCCTCCATTACGGCGTCTCTCATAATTATGTGGTGGTTTTGGGACGCTAAACCCCACATATCAATCCCCAATTCATATCTAGCCAAGAACAGTGAGAACACAAATATGCAATTTTAAGGCTTGAGCGTTAAGAAAAAGCTGTCATCGGGAGCGTAGACTAGACGAATAGAAAAATAAATGCCCATTGCTTAGCAGGAACCAAATCATAGCATTCTCCGTGGCAATCGGGTATTCTACCACGAAGCTATGCCAGGTCGCGGAACTAGCTTTCAAATAGACCTTAATGTTCGTGAAACATCAGTTGTGTTTGGAGTGCTGTCTTTCCAATTTTATAAACAATGCATTTGAACTCCTACGACACAACCGTCACGTCACATTGACATCAATTATGTTCGGGTGTCATGCTTCACTTGACATTGTTACCAACTGAATCATGTAGCAGTTTCCAGAGCCACGATCCTCGCGGTCAGCAGAGCTTTATAACAGCTTACCAATCCTGGTGTTTTAATATTTATGTTGCTGTCGGCATCGTTTCGCAACTGTAAACAACTGATGATATAAAACATATTCAGCTGTTTGACGCATGTCTTTGCTTGCATTCGCTCAAATCTTTAGCGCAACTTTGTAACGTTTTTGCTCAATAAAAAGTTACAACACAGTAACCTTGCATGCGCATGATTCACTTGACATTGTTACCAAGGTACGTAGGATCTGCCGGTTTTGTCTTTTTCTTGTTACATCGTGAGCTTCGTAAAACACGGTTTGTTACACCCAGATTTACCCTTGCAATGTATCAGTTACTCAACACGGTAGTCCTTGCGCTTTTTACATGTCTTGGTAATTGATACATCGGTTCTTTCATGTAGCTCTGCGGCTGGAAGCTGTTTACGTAAGCAAAATACGAAGAGAAAAATAAAGAAAGCCAACTTCACCTCTATCCTTGCCGGGGAAACCGTAGGGAGAGACCAGTTTTGTAAGCTTACTTTTCCTGACGCCATTGGCTCATATGTCTTGACGGTGAGTGGTACCCTAGTTGCATGTAGTGTAAGTGCTCATTAAGGCAAATGTCTCAAATGCGTCACCACACGTGAACGCTTTCGCGGTGTCAACAAAAGCGAAGTAGATGACCATTGTTCTCTGATGACATCACAAGTCACCAGAGTTTGTGGCGCCATCACGACATCACCGTAATGTCCAATCACGACATGACATGTTATGACGTCATCGGTGACACCATCATTTGATCGTAGTATGGCTCATGCCGAATGCACGTGAGGCGCAGGGATATTGTAGTGTGTCGGATACTGCAGCCAATACAAGTCCACGCCTAACGCATCAGGCTTTTGGGGATAGGAGAATCAACGCGTTTTTTCACTGAAGTGTACAAAATATTGAAGTGCAAAAAGAAGAAACCGAAGCCCACTGTCTACTCATCTAATCATTTCTTCTTCATGTGTTCACGTGAGCACTTATTGTCTGTTCGTTTTTTTCTTTCTTTCTACAGATACATTTTCAGTTGTTAGTGTGCGCTATGTTGAGCTGTCTTCCTTTTGTCCTTCAATTTTTAGGGCACCTCATTTAAGTTTCATTACCAACTCCCCCACAGTCCGTACTTCTTGTTGTTGTGGTTGTTTTGCTCTGCAAATGGCTCATACCCAAAAGAGAAGATTGGCTGATTGTAAGGTGAATTTACCCGATACTTTCAGCAGTGCGTCATTTCTAAAAACTTTTGTTATTTACTTTTGATTTGAAATGCCCATTGCAAATTTGCAGAAAAAGAAATAAAAAAATAGTGGGATTGTAACTTACCAAGAAAATCGTTTAGTCGCAGTGATGTATTCCTGAACGACGAATAAAGCATCCTTTTGGCTGAAACCCAGTGTAGAGTCTTCAAATGAAAGATCAGGTTGCGATAATTGCAAGCCCAGTTTCTAGGTGGTACAAGTATGCTCTGTCTGGATAAATCAAAACGGCGGCAATATAAGAAAAAGTTACTGATCGTTTCTTCTTCATTACAGTAAATGCACATTGGGGAATTCAATTAGACTGATCTATGCAAGTAAAAATTAAGGGAGGTAACGTGGCAACGAAATTTTGTGATGACAACTTCCATCATCCTTGAATTATACAGTTAACTGCGTCAGGGAAAGAGAAAGTGGCTGTACTCTGGAGAAGCCGTCAGTGCAAGGTCTGATAAATTTTGCCTGATTTTAAGTGTGCGAAATCGCGCCACCATATTGTGTACTGTATGAGGGAAAATAGGAATGACGGGGGTCGAAAGCGATGTCTTCGCAAGATAATCAGCTACTTCGTTTAACAACAAACCTTTGTGCTCTGGTGCCCAGAATAAATGAATACTTTGGAGATGACAAAGAGCCAATGATTTAAAAAGTTTCAGTATAGGTGAGCGACCGGATGTGGACAGAGAAGAGCACACTGATATTGAATCAGTTATGACTGCTGCGACCGGAATAGAAGTAATTTCTCAATAAGAGAACAAAAACCTTGCCACTAACTATTCGGAATTCATATTACTTGCTTACACCATATCGAAAAACATTTTGTCATAATTATGCTGAAAGCTATCGAAGCCTGCGTGCGAAAATAGAATGCCAGGCGGACACTTGTCAATTCAATGTTTTCACCGGCGACAGGGCGTCCACCTGAGAAACAAGTAATATTTAGGTATACCTTAATTTGCTATAATTAAGTATGATGTATACGTCGTACTCACTCTTCCTAACCCTCGATGATGTCGGACGAGAAAAGCATGCTTGTGGGCAAGGCTTCTTGCTGTTTCAACATATTCTTATCACACGAACCTCCCTTTTATTACATAACTTGGTTTTTTTACAGATAAACATAAACATTTACAGATAAACAGAGAGCATGCAGGTATCACAAGCAATCCGCATTGTAACTACGTGCAATTGTGAAAATCATGCCAAAAATGAAGTTTTCAAGGAAGTTTAATAGGCCAGAGCAAGAATCACGAACAAAACTCCGACCTCAGCGATCCTCTTTATAATTAAATCACTGCTTTGACACTCGTCGAGTGACTAAAATATTTAATGGAGCGTATTCTCCGCTCTCTTCAGCAACATAATTTGAGCCATACGCTGTATATAGTAGCTTTCGGTTTCTGAGGAATTGTTCCTGTTCTCTACCTTTTTCAGGACATGTAATGAACCTTTGGGTCGGTGCCTTTTTAAAGCACTCACCACGTTTAGTGAACTTTCCTCCACTTACTTTGCTTGATGAGCAATTGAGGAGTTTGGAGCCGAACGGGCGAGACGTGACAATGACCGTGGAGAATGTCGATGTATATCTACATACTTCAGTTCGTTCTCGGAGTCTCTCTTGTAGAAATGTCCATAGATGCTCCCGTTGACCTTCGGTGACTGTTTTTGAAGTTTTTAAAATTTTTATCTTTTTATGTACTTTCTGTTTTCTTTTTTTCGTCTTTGTCAGATTGGAAGATGGCAAAATTGAATGAATGCCTGGTAACTTTTGTATAATTTGTCGTGGTGAACAGTGGTCTAATGGAAACGTTGACACCAAACAACAGTTTCAGAAGCGTACCCCTTTATTTTATTTATATATATCTATATATATATATATATATATATATATATATATATATATGTGTGTGTGTGTGTGTGTGTGTGTGTGTGTGTGTGTGTGTGTGTGTGTGTGTGTGTGTGTGTGTGTGTGTGTGTGTGTGTGTGTGTGTGTGTGTGTGTGTGTGTGTGTGTGTGTGTGTGTGTGTGTGTGTGTGTGTGTGTGTGTGTGTGTGTGTGTGTGTGTGTGTGTGTGTGTGTGTGTGTGTGTGTGTGTGTGTGTGTAACAACAGATCTGGTACAAAATTTATAAAAGTATATCTAATATATATATAACACATCTGGCATTTCACTGCACCCTCACAAGGAGGATAAAAATTCTCTAGAAGAGATTACATAGTAAGGACCCTCTAGCTTAGTCAGTCATTCTTTCACAGTCACTGGAATACTGATTCGACTGGCAATAATCATTTCAAACACATAGCACCTTTGCATGACTTGCAAGAACTCCCTCATGCTATAGAAGCGGCGTAACAGGGCTGTGTGTGCAGTGAGAGTGATAGCACCGCAGGAAAGCCATGAATCAAATGTGCTGGCTGCTATAATGAATTAAGGCAGTTCCAACTGCTTCTTTCTGGTTACTTAGCGGCGTTATGGAGGCAGCCTTATAGCATCACAGTGTCAAGCCCCGCCATTCCCATCTTTCAGTGAAGAGGGTCGGCACCCCTTCGCCAGTGTACTTAGAACAGGGCATGGCTCGCAAGCTTATTTTTAAGGAAGGTTCAAGAAACTCCTCATATATTTCTAAGCCTTGTGGCTTGTTCACTCTAGAGAGAGAATAAGGATGAAAGAAAGGCAGGGAGGTTAACCATGGCTGATCCTGGTAGGCTACCTCGAACTGGGGAGGGGGAAAGGGGAATAAAAGTTAGAGAGAGAGAGAAGGAGAGAAATGTCACTCATGCCATTGACAAAACGGCAGTTATGTGCTTAACATCACAGATGTTGAGTCACATCCGTGTCTTAATCAATTGAGCACATTTGTTGCATTAACTTGTATGCGTGGTTCCATGCACCCAAAATCTTGCCCATGGTGAAGCCATAAAGGTGCCGCTTGTTTTCCCAAGCAGCATAACTCTGAAGGCTTGCAAGAACTTGAGTGATGGTTTCAAGCAGTTGCAACACGCTTTAAGATGTAGATGTCTGCATCTTGCTTATCAGAACGTGCATAGCAGTGACTATTTCGGTTGAAGTTTGCGTTGAAGTCATAATTATGAAGGTGAGGACGTTTTCTGTACTGCTCGTGTAGTCTAAAGCGGTTAACTGCAAGAATTTTTTACACAAGAAATATCAAATTGTTGCTATCACATTCATTGTGCCGCCGTTGCAGGGAAACATTCTTGTTTTTCCTAAAGGATAATCATTCACAAGATTCGATCGTGTATTCCCGCAGGGCGATGTAGGAAAATGCCATGTTTGCTGCTACGTGCCACCGGATGTTGACAGCAGGGGATATAGAAAAGTGTTCCTTCCAGACAACGCCTGGTGCAACGAAAACAATGGCGTATGTGCGAACGTTTTCTTTCAATTATAAAGTGTTCTACAAAATTACGGTTACCGATAGTAAGGGTAACTTATAGGTACTGACCAGTTGCATAAAACCCCGAAAACGTTAGAGAGCAACGACTAACCACTTAAACGGAGACATTTCGATTCATTCGCGATTCGTGATAGTCGTCGTTCATGAAGATCCTACGCAACCTTTGTGCATACTGTGCGACTGACACACAGGAAAACAATGACCCTATACCTGCGTGCTGGGCGCTACAAATGCCGTTTAAAGACCATTGCTTTCTGTTTGAAGGCACTGGACGGAATATGATGTTAATCTGGCAGTAATGTGGGGAAAGTAAGGTGTATGTAGAACGTAAAGCCACTGGTAGACAGCAGCACCATGCCACCGGCTTGTCATTGTTGTTTTGCTCCGGCAACATCAGGCATAATATACGTGACGTGAATCAGACATTCCTTATGGTTTAACACGCCGAGATATTAAGTTGTGGAGGCACTTCGTGTTGGGTTTGCGCTTACCATCAGTTGTGATAACACTTTGGAGCAAAAGCACCGCGGCGTGTATGGTACGTCGTGCCCATATGTGGCCCAGAAGTTAACTGCCACACACGTATTAGGCTTGATCGGGTCTACAATTCAGTCATCATCGTATCCTCCGTGACACAGGCGTCAGGCTTGGCCGACCTCTTGGCTTTCACAACTGGATTCATGGAACTCACCCCCGCTCATTACTTCACGGCATACACGAAGCAAATATGCGTGTACATTTTTAATCAAAAATTTTTATTCCTAAGGGCATACTTTCAAAAATAAAAAAGCTCCTACATTGGTATGTTCGGCGCCTCGATGGTGTTGTGGTTCTGCATCACAATACTTCCACTCCTGGTCTGTGGCGCGTTCGTGCAGGATCCTCTCAGCTTCACAAACCGTCATAATGCAGGCTACCAGTACACGCCAAGCGCGTTGATTGGCGAATACCTAGCGCGCGTAATCAAATGCTGCCTGTTTGTTTTTTTGTTTTTTCAGGAAAGAGTGCTTTCGGAACGAATAAGCAAAGAAAGCACGCGACTATCAGCCTCCCGTCTTAGGTGCGCAGCGCACTTTAAAAGAAGGACAGAAATAACACAGATGAGAAATTTCAAAGAAATATAGAGGATTGACTAGCGCGGCAACATAGTGTCTTGCCAGAACATGCTGGAGCACGAAGTGAAAGCGCTCGGGCACAGGACTGGGGCGTGTGCAGAAGCCGCATACTCGACGATGGGTAGAAGGGCTCGTATGCTAAATCCCACCGGCAAAAGGAATCCTCCAAAGAGCCAAATGGAGACAGAGCCTGCGCTAGCGGCTCACCATCATGCACAGTTCAGCGACGAAAGAAGGGCTGGAGCAGCTGACATGCTTCAGGGTTTCTTTGTGGCTGCGTCTGCAGCACACGCCTGCGGAAAGGCAGGCCCATCCGGTCTTCTAAAAAACCAGCAACCACTTCTAGGCGAACCGGCTTGGACTGCACAGACTGATCTGAGGTGAGGGAAGACCTGTGGTGAGCGCGCCGACACCATTTATCTCCCGCGATGCACCAAACGACCTTAAGTGGAGCAACTGCCACTGGCACAGCTAGAATCCTACAGTCCTGCCGAAGGCATTTTCTTCTCCATATTTATTAACACGAAAACCGGGGTACACTAAAACTTCAAGGACACAGACTGGTGACAAGCATGACGTTGTTATAATTTTACATAAATGAAATGCCAAAAAAAACGTCGGAGATAAAGAGGTTTCGCTATTTTGGGAGATCCGGAATTCGAACCAACGACTCTATAGCTATATACACAGGGCGCTTAAACAACTGCACAATCTGGAAATTGGGAGAAGGGGGGGCAGCACATCGTTATGGCATTACTACGTTAAGGCATTAACGTTCGCTGACAAAAAAAAGCTTAAGTAGTTTTACGACTACTGTGTAAACCCTCACTGTTAGCATTGAAACTGGTGCTGGCATCGATGGATGATTGTATCCGGCTGTACCCTTAGATCGGGTGGTGGCTGACGCCACCTAGACAATAAGGGTTAAGTACTATCTTTGTGTGTTGAAGGATTGAATTTCACTCGCGCCTTAATTCTAGCCACCAATAAGTTAGCCCGCTCCTGGTTATTTCTACCCATTTTAAGTCTATTTTGCCTTCACTGTCCCTGAACCCCAATGTTCTGAAAATTTTCGTGCCATTATTTTGGACTATATTATGGAGTTTTTTACCGAACATGGTCAAATGTTCAGCCGATTTTTCCTCCTCTCCAAATGCACTACTAACGTGTCTGTGCCTTCGTATTTGCCTTGGTACGTCTTGGTCCATAATACTCGCGTTGTGGCCACAAACCGCATAAAACTACCCCAAGAAATATTATGAATCGTTTTGATAACTTGCACACTATACCAGCACCACCTATGGGTGGCATCAGCCCTATATTCTGCACAGCATTGCGCGGCTAGCTTGGCCTCCACCATTACATGCGAACACATCTCGGGAACGAACCTCTTTGGCCACGAGAGATTTTAACGCGACAGCGTTAAAGGGCTTGCCTCACAGAAAACCCGCCGCCAACGTCAGCCACGTTGGTTGTGAGCGAAAAATTGTGTATACGTCTGTGACCGAAAAATCAAGTTACCGAGATAGCCGTGGGATGTCGCTACTTGTCCAGGTGTGCGCGCGATCACACTGAAAAGCCGCGTTTTCGAATAAAAAAAACAGTGCTTAAATTCACGAGGTGTGGTAGATTCTTTGCCCTGCCACCCCTCCTTGCTTAGCTTTCAGCGCGTTTGTCGGGACGAGAGAAGAAAAAACGCTATTTCTGCATGCGACGAACTTTTGTAACTCAACTCGCACTGAACAGATTTAAAAAAAAATGCGGCGTTGAATTCGTGAGGCAGTAAGCTGTTCTTGTGAATTCATTCCATGACGCATTTTGTTTGACAGGTGTCACGACAAAAACGACCCCACTCAGCGATAATAGCGCGTGCTCGTCCAATCTACTGTGTGCGTGTTTGTGTGCGTGCGTGTGTACGTAACAAAAGATATGAAAGAGTATGCACTTCGTGGTTGAAGGCTACACAAGGGGCCGGGTTTCACTATCGCGTTCAACTCCTAAAGGCGAAGCTTAAGGGTCCCTCAATTTTTTATTCGTTGACGACACACTTCCATGCGTTGTATTTCCCGTTGTTTTAGCAAGTACAGCTTGCATATGCACCAACGGTGCTTCTGCGCCGCCTGCTCATGCGAGTGCAAAGGAACCGACAACAAGAACTTCTGCTGCAAGCGTCGCTGAAAGAGAACAGCGTCCAGAAACTGATATCGTGCAAGTGAATTTCGGGAGGCGAGAGACAAGCCAAGGGGAAGGAGTTCTGAGCCTTCGCATGTTCACGGCTTAAGCTGAGAAATCACTTTCTAGCGTTTCTGAGGCTGAGCGCATAGCGGCCTCAGTTGCTGCCATTCACACACCTAATCACAGTGAAAATAGTCATTTGTGTGCGAAAGTGTCCACTAGCAGGGCGCCGCTCGCTAAGTTGACGCCGATAAGAAGTACATCCACGGAACAGCTACTGACCTGTACATTATGAGCTCACAAAGCTCTTTAGTGATAATTCGTTCAATTTTGCTTTCATGATTTGAGAATGCATGGGCATCATGTGTGAATAGAGCAATTCAACTGGCGTTTGCAATATAGCGTCTCCAAAAAATGTGTCCCTATGACTAGTCATTGCTTGTCACGATAGAGCAGAAGAGTGACAGAGACGAATGTACAATATATAAATCTTCATTAAACATACAACAACTTCCCTGGATGAGTTCCACTTTCGTGCAATATACGGGTTTTTTTATCATTTCTTTAAATGTACGGCTCAATCCTGAACGTCCAGTGCCAATTTCGTGCCCGAACTCAGCTGGAGGGGAGTGTTTCACCAGCAACAAATTAGGCCAATAAGGGGTGTTTTTCATTGCTTTCAGCATGTGCCCCACACCCCTTCGAAAAAGTCTCCAGTCATGACTAGCATGACTAGGAAGCTTGTTTTGATAAACGTTAAATTGCTTTGCATTTCAATCTCATTTGTCTATGGGTTACTTCTCAATCGCCTCCACGTGTTGTGTACTTTTCCAGACCGTTTGCCTAAATGGCGACTGCGTTCAAGAGAAGCTTAAGTATAAGGAATACCAACCAACGAAGTGAACCGCGGAATAAAAAAGTGCCTTCCAACTACACATATTGTTTTGTTGTGACTTATTGAAGTGCCCAGTAAAGTACTGGGATTTCGGTAATGAGAAAGACTTACTTTAATAAGCTCTGGGGTACAGGGATAGGAGTGACTGCATGGAGGTAGGAATACAGAGTAGAAAGCTCAGAGGTGGTAGAGTGGCCCACGAGGCAGCGGGCCAATATTTAACTTGATGATTCAGCTGGCCATTGATGGAGGAGAAGGAGAAGATAAACAGTAGAGGAAGCAGGAGATTCGGAAACAGCGTGTGGTTTGCGTAATGGTTGCGCATTCTGTTGATGACGTAATGGACGCCGCACAAGTGTCCCTGCAGTAAGTATTCCAATATTCTTGGAAATATGCAGTGTTATGCTACCACCCGCCCGTTACCTTCCAGGGTAATTGAGCCACGCACCACGTTATGAAACCAAGCTATCAATTGCGAAAACGATGCGCAAGCGGTTAAGGTTTAGCGCACTCCAAGTTTTTGCTTATGTGCCCCCAGTTTTCACGTAAACCGTTCAAATAAAACGTAACCTCTCTGATAAGTGAATAATAAGCTGACCTCGTGCAAAGCTATACCCCCCATTTTTTAGTATCACATCTGTTCGGAACGGGGCTGCGTTTAAAAAGAAAAGATCCACACCCCCGCCGCGGTGTACGATAATAACAGACATGTGGTCGACCAGAAAAAGTAAAAACAGTGCACTTGCTTAAGATCGCTGACGGCAGCAATACCTATCAAGCAGCCAACACAACAAAAAAAAAAAAAAGAAAAGACGAGGCAGTTTCACTTACCGTTGCTATAGCAACTAGTGGAACAGGTGGCAACTACGGTGTTCTACTATCGTCATGCTTTTAAGTGACGGAAAAACATGCCATGCGGCACCAGCGTTGATTGCGTGTCATAGCCGTGTTCATTGGCCTGTGACTAAACGTATTTTCACCATATAAACCGAAGGGCAAAGGACGAGACACCTATACTTAAATCACGGGCTTTGCTGTTTGCTGAAGACGGCCGAAAATTATTTTTGCAGTCGCTCAGTAGATTTGGGACATTATTGAGCATGTCTCTCGGCAGTGCTTGAGAATTCCATGCGCTACGCACAATACCCACGCCATGACCAGAATCCTGTATTATTAAATTACCATGAGAATGGGGCACAGCTGCAAGATGTGAGGCTGAACTGTACTTAAAGCTCAAACATAAAGAAAAAGGCAAGGCTTTGCAACGCTTAGACTGCTCTTTTTGTACTGTTCAATCATGTCTGAATATATATATATATATATATATATATATATACTGAAGAAGTTCTTTACAATGGGTCAAACGTATTTAAGAAGAGAAGAAATATTACGTAGTGGTCCTCCTAATTTTATTACCAACGATTTCGACCAGTAGACCGGTCTTCTTCAAGGTTATATATATATATATATATATATATATATATATATATATATATATATATATTGTTACGTGAAGGAGACTGACTCAGAGGGGTAGTCACCGATGTATTTACAGACGGTTAGGCGAGCAGCGCCAGCCACACAGATTAGCTCGTGCCAGTCTATCTGCTTCGTCTTCTTCAGCTCCATGCACTGGCACGTAGCATGACCCCCGGCGGCGGAGGCACCGTCCCGGTGCTTTAAAGGTCGTTATCTGACGCATTATTGTAGGGCTTTATCCGCGAGACGTGTACGATATCACTGGGCCGCATAGTAGATGATGATGGGCAGATGGGGCTGATCTCGTAGGTGACAGGTGTTACTTGACGCAATATACGATAGGGTCCCGTGTACTGAGACAGAAGTTTTTCGGATAGGCCCAGCCGACGATGAGGGGACCAGAGTAAAACGAGGGTACCGGGAGCGAAATGTACGTCTCTATGTTCCGCATCGTACCGACGGCATTGGTTGGTTTGCGACGCCATCAGCCGAGCGCGAGCGAGCTGACGGGCATGATCGGCTCGCGCAATCGCGTCGCGGGCATACTCGCTGGTGGACGAGGTGTGAGCTGAGATGACTGTGTCCAGTGGTAAAGTCGGCTCTCTTCCGTACAATAAGTAGAACGGCGAAAAGCCCGCTGTGTCGTGACGGGATGAATTATACGCGAAAGTTGCGTAGGGTAAGGCAAGGTCCCAGTCTCGGTGGTCGGGCGACACGTACATAGCGAGCATATTTGTTAAAGTGCGGTTAAATCGTTCCGTAAGGCCGTTTGTTTGAGGGTGGTAAGCGGTTGTCAGTGTGTGTTGCGTCGAACAAGAACGCAGAATGTCGGCGATGACTTGGGATAAAAATGTACGGCCATGGTCTGTGAGAAGCTGTCTCGGCGCACCGTGAATCAATATAACGTCCCGTAACAAGAAGTCAGCGACGTCGGTTGCACAGCTGGTCGGTAGAGCTCGCGTAATAGCGTAGCGTGTAGCGTAGTCTGTGATAACGGCTATCCATTTGTTTCCCAATGTTGATGTGGGAAAAGGACCAAGCAGGTCTAACCCAACACGGTAAAATGGTTCCGCGGGTATGTCAATTGGTTGAAGATGGCCAGCGGGTAGCAGCGATGGTGTCTTACGACGTTGGCATAGGTCACATGTGGCGACGTATCGGCGTACCGAACGAGCAAGGCCTGGCCAGAAAAAAACGGCGCCGGACGCGCTCGTACGTGCGGGATACGCCAAGGTGTCCAGCCGTGGGAGCGTCGTGAAGTTCGGTGAGAACACAGCGGCGCAAATGCTTAGGCACAACAATGAGAAGGTCGGGCCCGTCTAGTCGGAAATTGCGACGGTATAGCACACCCTTTTGAATGACAAAGTAGCGGACGGAAGCATCATTTGTGGAGGATTCCATACGGCTGATGATGTCAAGCAGCTCTGGATCACGGTTCTGTTCTTCCCCAATATTAAGGAAGTCGGACACTGACAAGATAGAGTTCTCCGTGGGCTCGTCAGTGTCCTCAGGATCGTCGACAGGGTACCGGGAGAGGCAATCGGCATCACGGTGTAGGTGGCCAGATTTGTAGACCACCGAATAGGAAAACTCTTGCAGGCGCAAAGCCCAGCGACCAAGGCGGCCTGATGGATCTTTCAGAGAGTTCGGCCAGCAGAGTGCGTGGTGGTCGGTAACTACCGAAAATGGGCGTCCGTATAGATAAGGTCGAAATTTCGCTACCGCCCATACAAGAGCCAAGCACTCACGCTCTGTTATCGAATATTTACGTTCAGGGGCGGATAGGAGGCGGCTGGCATATGCAATAACGCAATCATGGCCATGTTGTTTCTGAGCCAGCCCTGCACCAATGCCATGCCCACTTGCATCTGTACGGATTTCCGTAGGGGCAGCAGGGTTGAAGTGTGCCAGAATCGGAGGGGTAGTGAGAAGAGCGACGAGAGTCGAGACCGCAGAAGCCTCTTCGGAGCCCCATGAAAACGGGACTTCTTTCTTGAGGAGCTGCGTAAGCGGCCTCGCTATGTGCGCAAAATTTTTCACGAAGCGTCGGAAGTAGGAGCATAGTCCGATAAAGCTGCGTACATCCTTCGAAAATCGTGGTACAGGAAAGTTTTTGACGGCGCTGATTTTTGCCGGGTCTGGTTGTACACCGTTGGCGTCTACTAAATGGCCAAGCACTGTGATTTGATGGCGTTCAAAGTGACATTTGGACGAGTTGAGCTGCAGGCCAGCGCGACGGAAGATTCCCAGGATGGCTGAGAGGCGCTCTATGTGAGTTTCAAACGTTGGTGAAAAGACGATGACGTCGTCCAAGTAGCACAAACATGTGGACCATTTGAATCCTCTGAGCAGGGAGTCCATCATTCGTTCGAAGGTGGCTGGAGCGTTACAAAGGCCGAAGGGCATGACCTTGAACTGATATAGGCCATCGGGGGTGATGAATGCCGTCTTTTCACGGTCCATTTCATCTACCTCTATCTGCCAGTAGCCGGAACGAAGGTCTATGGATGAAAAGTAGTGGGACCCATAGAGGCAATCAAGCGCATCATCTATTCGTGGCAGAGGGTAGACGTCTTTTTTGGTAATTTTGTTTAGGTGTCGATAATCCACACAGAAACGCCATGCACCGTCTTTCTTGCGGACTAGCACTACAGGAGAAGCCCAAGGACTGCAAGATGGCTCAATGATGTCCTTGGCGAGCATTTTGTCGACCTCACTTTGGATGATGTGACGCTCGGCCGCCGACACCCGATATGGGCGCCTATGAATAGGATGCTCATTACCAGTGTTTATGCGGTGGCTCATACCGGTAGCTTTCCCCAACGGACGGCCACTGATGTCAAATGCGTCGATGTAGGACAGCAGAACCCGGTGGAGCTCATCAGTCTGCTGCGGTGTTAAGTTGGAAGCGATCATCGAAGTAATAGCGCTGTCGGAGCAAGTGGCAGACTGATGTGGAGCGTGGGGTTCAGAAGGGGCGGCCATCGCGAAAACATCTACCGCATTGTCTTCTAAGGTGCAGAGCAACGCTAAAGACATCCCTTGCGGCAAAACTTGAGGTGTCAAGCTAAAGTTGACAACTGGGAGGCACGTAGAATTTCCTGCGACGGACAGAATGGTGTGCGGTAATGTAATGCCACGGCTTATGAGAACATCGGTGATAGGGGTCAGAACATAGTCACCGTCGGGAACTGGTGGTATTGAGACGAGCTCTATGTAGGTCAGTGTCTGTGGAGGGAGGCGCGCGTGTCCCGTTGTGCAGAGGCGACTCGGCCGTTGTGTAAGAGGTTCTGTTGCGGGCAAGTGTAGACGGAGCGTACTGGTCGAACAGTCTATGAGGGCAGAATGCGCGGATAGGAAGTCGAGGCCTAAGATTACGTCGTGGGGGCATTTATCAAGGACGGTGAAGAGAACAACTGTGTGTCGATCCGCAATGCTCACACGAGCGGAGCACATTCCAACGATCGATGCTATGCCACCATCCGCAACACGGACGAACTGGGTGGTCGCAGGTGTGAGAACCTTCTTGAGCTTGCGGCGAAA